AATATATCAAGCTGAGAACTTTACATTTTAATTTATTCTGTTGCATTTGTGTTATTTTTTATTTTAATTGAACCCTCCTTCTTGTTCATGTTTAATCAAACGACATGAAAACAATGATGGAGTAGCATTTGTAATGTATAAGTAATATATACAAGATTTACGATTAAAATTTCTTATTTTTAATAAGTGTAATTTTTTTTCAGTGGACTTTTTCGAGGATCCCGAGAAGTTAGGTACGCCCAGTGGCTTCATTGTATTTTCCCACATTAAATTTTGTGCACTTTCACAGATATTAAACAGTTAATAAACCACCGTTATTACATCTTTAAAACTGAAGAAACACAAAATAGACAAAATAAAACAAATCACAAAACTTCACTCCTCGCATTCCCGCCAAAAAAATTTTTGCGCAGGATTACGTGTCAACCACAGATAATATAACTATTCCTATAATTAATATAAAAGTGTCATTTTTGCGCGGGAATACATGTCCACCACAGATAATTTAATTATTCGTATAATGTGTTGTAAGACAATATAGAACTGTAGGTATTTGCGAGCCGTCAAATTCACCAGCAGACGTTTTTTTTTTTTTTTTTCCTACCTATGCTGATAGCCTTGAGAGGCTATTTCAGCTTCACCCTAACGTTAGTAGGTGAGCTCGCGGGGCTCAACCGGAGAGTTGCTAACACTGACCCTAGCAAGAGCAGTGCTTCGCAGAATCTACCACCGGATCGGAAACGCGACCCACTGAGAAGATCCGGCGAGAAACTCAGTGGGCTGTGTCTATGGGTTAGTTCGCTCGTCGAGCCCTTCGTCGCAAGCGACGGGTTCGACGAGGACGGTGACCGGTGCTTGTGGTGCCTAAAAGCACCGTTAATGGATCAGGAGGATCCGTAATGACGTGCTTTGGGCGACGTCGACGGTTTACCATTCGGTCTACTGGGTCGGGTATGTAATTTCCAGCGGCTACGATGAGAGGGTTCTCATGTCGTGCCGCCTTCTCAAAATGGCGCAGCGATGCCGACTGTAGATACTTACTAAGAGAGTCGAGCTCCAGGTCATCGTGGAGATCCACATTCCTAAGGAACCATGGCGCTCCGACGGCTATCCTGCAGAATCGTGATTGAATAACCTGAAGGGATTTCAAGTGGGTGCGGGCTGCGTGAGCGAACACTACGCTTGCATACGTCATGACGGGGCGTATACAAGTTTTGTAGAGAGTTACCTTATTGCGGAGGGACAGTTTGCTTCGACTACAAAGCATTGGATAGAGTCGTCCTAGAATAAACGCGGCGCGGTCGCGTACCGTTTTTATATGGGGACGGAATGTCATCCCTCTGTCGAGGGTGACGCCTAGATATTTGACCTTCGAGACCCACGGTATGGGCTGGCCAAAGAGAGTGATGGGACTAACGGCGGAGGTGTTTGCGCGCCTACTACGGAGTGGGATGCTCGAAGTGATGTTCGGAGGGCGACCCCTTTTGAACAGCAGACGAACTCACGATCCACATTATATTACACATCAATACAACCAATAGTCAATAACATTGTTGTTTGTGAAAGTGTCTAGGGCCTAATAGGTAAAACACCCACTGAATCATTAAAGTTTACTGATGGCGTTAGATGGGGTGACGCTATCTGTGTGCTCAGTGCGAGTTTTTTAACGTTCTCGATAACGTAAAAGTTAACTCTAATTTGTATGCATCTGGAACAGCGCCTCTAGGGGCATCCGAGGCAAACTTTCCAACTCAATTTTTTTTTTCTTTTTTTTTCCCTACCTATGTTGATAGCCTTGAGAGGCTATTTCAGCTTCACCCTAACGTGTAGGTAAGCTCACGGGGCTCAAACCGGAGTGTTATTTGAGTTAACTTTTACGCTATCGAGAACGTTAAAAAACTCGCATTAAACACTATGACATATCTATGCCGCGCAATCTTTTTACATTCCGGTGTGAAATGTAGCCATAGTAATATTACAACATTATTGAGTCTTCCGGCTCGTAAGGTAGATCATTGAGACATGTCTCAAGTGGGCGGTGGCACTCTGGAACGTCTATCGGCTTATAGAATCATTCACTACTAGATGAGTAGAAAAACGAGCATAAGGCCCACCTGATGGTGAGTGGTCATCGTCGCTCATACACTAGGGGCTTAGCCAAACTGTTGCCTACCACTGAGTACTCTCCTTGAGCCTCGTTTCAAGAAGGTTTAAATCACTTGCTTCACGTGAGGCCTCAAAACATCTATGCACTCCAGTTTGAAGGGTTTTCCAGCTAGTAACAGTGGCAATATCAGTTATGCTAAGCTTACGATATACTATAGTAAAAGACAATCTCAAAATAAAACGCAAATTTATGAATTGTAAAATTAAAACGCTTTATTCATTGTCTCAAGAAAAAATAAGGTAACATCACTATTCAACTACATACATCGATTCTTATATTATTAAAAATGATTAGTTTTTTTTATTAAAACGGTACATATTTTTTTACATATTACATAATACTACTTATGTTTAAAGCAACTTAAATTTAAAACAACTTAATATAATAATCACGTTTTCGTAATTCAGTATGGCAGTATTTACGTGCGCGACAATTAATAGTAAGTAGAAAGATATTTAGAAAAAAATACATGTGTGCAATTCACGCGTGGTAGAAAGTGAAACCTTCACAAATTTTGGCTTCAAGATAATGGAGACGAATGTAAAATTTCGGGAAGAGGATAATCGTAGGTTTTAATAATGATTATAGCGATACAAAGTTTGATAATTATTTTACATTTTATTCGTATTTATTACGTAGATTTATTCAGAATGTATTTAGTACGAATATTAGGTACGAAGTAGAGCACAAAGAGATTCACGAATATATGAAACACTGTATAATGCTTCCTATCTCATTTTCTCCCACGTTAAATCTTTCAAATCACAAGGAAGTAGAAGTGTTCACTTCAAAAACTTGACAGAAATAAAATATGTTGTCATTATCTTGATAGACTTTTATTATAAATCGTGAAATGTTATACAACTTCTTTTTCCGTGTGTAGTATTTTCATTTTTCAACCTTAAATCAAATTTGTAATAGGGAATGCTGTGTATAAGAGAAACGACTTAGCTCGCCTTGTTCTTTCCCTCTCTCCCTCTCTCGAGTGGTTCGCGAGACGCTCTATCTGTTTTCTCACTCTTGCTCTTCCTAATTTGTATCTTTTCTCTCTAACCGTAGTGAATCTATCGCGAGATAAATTTAACACTCAACGCGCCTAAAGAAGTTTTAAAGTTCAAAAAAATTAAGAGACCCATAAAACCATGATCTCTGTTTCAAAGATTTTTACAAAATAGGGAAAATAAATATGAAACATCCGTTGAAATGAGGAAGCTGTAGGAATTTTAATCTCACGCTACAAAGTGCGCACTGCATACCTCAATGACACTAACATAACATGCGCCAGACGAATTCTAACCTCTTTCCTAATCCCATCAAAAACTACTTTAATGAAATGCATTTTTCTCAACACATTAATTTTCATATTAAATTAAATGGTTCGCTAATGCATTGAATTCGTGAAAAGGAAAAATTACATATTGTCTTAACGACAAACAAACATACCTACTTCTTGTTATTTGTGGACAACTGGTAAGATAAAAATGTGATAATAAATAATGTATACATATCGTAATGTTGTTTTAATTAATCTAAAGCCGATATGTACAAGTCGAACAAAATTTATTACGAGAATGGATATCAATAAGAAATACCTACTTTTTAAAAACATAATTATAATTATTTAAAATTTATTCAGCTCTACGAGTATTTTGTTTTTTTATTGCTTACATGGGTGGACGAGCTCACAGCCCACCTGTTGTTAAGTGGTTACTGGAGCCCATGGCCATCTACAACGTAAATGCGCCACCCACCTTGAGATATAAGTTCTAAGATCGCAGTATAGTTACAACGGCTACCCTACCCTTCAGACCGAAACGCATTACTGCTTCACGGCAGAAATAGGCAGGGCGGTGGTACCTACCCGCGCGGACTCACAAGAGGTCCTACCACTAGTATAAGAGGTCCTACCACCAATACTAAGCGTTTGTAGAGATAATGTGTTAGTACAATAAAATTAGTAGCAAATATTCGTTATCTTAAACAGACAAACTTTATAGTTCATTTGGTGTTAACCTGATACCAAAGCATATTATGGATGGTTTAAGTAAACCATTTTTTTTATTTAGAGTAGTGAGCCTTAGGGGAGGCAGCAGTGGACGTTTGTGTGCTTAATGCGAGTTTTTTAACTTCTCGATCGCGTCAAAGTTAACTCGATTTTGTATGGAGCTGGAACAGCTTCCTTTTGTTAACGCTAGGAGTGCTGTTCCAACTCCATACAAATTTGAATTAACTTTGACGCGATCGAGTAGTTAACAAACTCGCAATAAGCACACAGACGTCCACTCTAAGCACACTGTAGACTGAAGAATAGCGAGTAAAAAAGTTAACGAAACATCTAAAACTCAATTGCCATGGAATAACGGCTATATTTGAAAAGTACCTTAAAAATGGAAGGCTGCTTCCTCATAGAAACAGACGAGGTGAACGTAATTATGTTATTAAAAAATTGCTAGTAAAATTTCTTAAAGCGAGGCAGCCATTTTGGACGCCAGCATAAATATCGGCTTTGGTTTAGTTTGGTCTAGTCTGGTATATTGTGTGACATCTAATATAAAAACAATCTATTCAACTATGAATTCAATTTGCAAAACTATATTTTATTTATTTATCAATGAATGTATTTAATGTTTGTTATTTTTCTGTACAATATTTAGTATTTGTCGTGGTAGACCGCAGCCTGTTTGCATGGTACAAATTAATTAGTTTTCGATGTTAATTAAATTTTGGACTCTGCTTTTCACCAATATTACGTAACAGAACTGACATACGTAACTTAATAGAAAAAATACCATTTTAAAATTGCACCTAATTATTCTAATTGCCAAAATCCATCATATTATATTACCTATTGCACCTCCCGAATTAGTCTTTTAATGTTATAAACAAACTTTTGTATTTTAGGAACAACAAAATTAATGTATTAATATGAATTTTCAAGAAACACTTAATTGATTCGATTAATAAAATCAGATAATAGCTATGAATTTAATACTTCCTTCGTGTAGATCATGTGAAGTTATATAATTTTAACGTTGATTTTTTTCTAATTAATTAAATCGTTTGTATAAGAAGCCGGTATCTGTCGACATCCGCTTTAGATTTTGAAAATGAAGATGTCTTTAAAATGTTAACTCAGATCACTTTTAAATAGGACGTTAGTGAAATTTGAACAATTTCTTTTCAAAAATTTTAGCCCAAAACTTGACCACAGCCGTTGACAAGTGTATCATTGACTGATTGATTGAGTGTAAAGTAATTTAAGCAGAACAAGAGAAGCCTTATATTTTACTATTAAGAAATGTGATCGATAAAATATGGTATAAATACAATGAGGTGACGAATTTTATGTACTTATATCGATAAGCTTACTCAATATTTAGGTATTTATCGAATCGTTCTGAACGCACAGCTCTTTAGAAGAACAAATAATGCTCATAGATAGATACATCACAGGTATGGAATCCAGAGTTGTCTGCAGTCAAAGAAACCTTTTAAAAAACTTACTTTGCGTTTTTATTAAATTATTTTGACAATTTCTGACAATGCGATATTATAATTTCGATAATTCATTAAAGGCAGATCAAACATTTGATACGCGGTTAACATGTTTGCTATCTAATGCTATTATTATGTTTAATCATGTTTGCTATCTAAAATTACTAGCGTGGGTCCAGTGCAAAAACCGTACTATTTTCTATGAATGTAGTTTCTTCGAGAATTCTTTAGGAGGTGACGCTGCTGCTTATTTCTACAACTAGTCTAGTAAAATAAAATAACAGAAATGTAAACTTCAAAAAAGGTATGTATTCAGAATTCGATGGATAGGACATGAAAGAATAATCCAATTTACATTGTCTTAAGAAAGGTCTATAGACCGGTCCGATACATTAGATATTTTTCTTAGCGATCTCTAATGAGCATGCATTATCTTGGGCGTTTGTTGCGCACCTTTCTGTTCCTAAAAATAGCTTTATCTTCCTCTAAGGTACTTCAGAGGAAGAAACCTGATCGTTAAAGTGTCCAAAACTGCGATGTGAGGTCGAAATTTTATTGGACGGGCCCAGATGTACATTAAGCTCCCAAAGTTTGATCTAAATCACGGCTTACACTATTAATAATGTCAATTCATTATTGATAGGCAACTTTTACGCATCCATAAAAATCACTTTAGTTTATACACTGCTTCACTTTAGCACTGAAAGGGCAATGCGTGCGTTATCTGAAATCTGTAATATCTGTGATTTATATGGAATAAAGAACAACATCTTTCATATGGATTCTTCTTGCGCCCTAAGTGTAAATTTTTACATACATATATTTTTCAGTTTATATAAAACATTACTAATCTTGATGAATCTACTATGTAATTGTAACTCTGTAATTTTAACGTGATAGAATCTCAGATATTAATGTGATGATATGAATGTTTGTGTTTAATATTTGGTCCTTAAATTAAACTAATGATGATTTATTATTAATACTATCTTGGTATAAATTAGTACGCTATAAATACAAAAAAGGACAGAATTCAAATATAGATTTTGTGAAAACACCATTATAATTTATATTATTACGAGTGACTAGAATCGTTTTATTTCATTTTTTATTTTAGTTAATTATGTTGTTTCTACAATAATGCATCTACATTGATTCCGATGCTGACCATACTTAGAATATAAGATATGGAATCGATTTCAAAACTGTTTCAAGCCCTAATGTTATACTTATCGGTGAATCTATTGCTATCGGGAGAATCATCAGCAAAAGTGATTTCATTGGATGAATCTGAATTTTCATCAGCAAACTTTATATCACCAAAATCAGATCTTTTCAGAGTATCAGCATTAGTTTCACGAATCGTATCGTTAATTCGTTTTAACGTTGATGTGTTATCAGGATCACGATTTTCCCTCCTGTGTACTTTAACAGGAGACCGTGTCAACGTTAAATCTTTCATCGGTATCGTCACGGGACTTTCGACCTTCTTCTTCCTGCCTTTCCTGGTAAGTTTGGGTGATTTTTGCAAATCACTTATACTGAAGTTTAACGGGTGTATGATGTTGCCCTTTTCTATGACTTTACGTATCGATTTGATGGATTCGTTGGACCTATTCGATCTGTTCTCAGACCTTTTGAGATTGCTCGACGAAGGTCTGTCTTCTGGTGATTCGGTATTGCTGCCTGGATCAGGATGAAGTTCTTTTGCAAGGATTTCCTGCATGAAATTGTTTTGAAATTATTTATTTGAAGCAGATATAATTTAGTAGATAGAAGTGTATAATCTAACAAGTCAGAAGATAACCGATCTCTAAAGAGTAAAAAAAATTAGTAAATATCCCTTTACTACTGTAAAAAAATTGTAAATGAGCCAAATAATACATCGTTACCCAAGAAAATACTTTTGCAGGAAATACCATTTTAAATAATTAGCAAGGATAGCTCAACAAAAAATGTACAATTGAAAACTTGCCTCATAAATTGGTTGTTTTTTCTCATTGATTTCTTTCAAAATATCACCTTCTTCTAACGGCGGTATCCAAACTAGGAAAGCTGGATCCATACCCAAATACGAACCTGGTACCGAACCTGTAACAATGTCCAGATCAATAATTCGAAAAATTAAGTTGTCTGGATTTTCGCAACTTTAGATCTCATTAGATTTATTGCAACATATGAACATTGCATTGGCGTATTTGTTTCTAAGACATTATTAATTATTCGTTTATTACTTATTTCACTATAATAATATTAATTAGTTATAGTAATATCATAAATATATTCTATTAAATTTTCATTTCTACCAACCCTCAAATTTATAAGTAAAATAAATTAGTACGATAAATGTCATTGACGTTGTAGGAGTTTGTTTCATTAAGCTGTATTTAATATCACAGCTCTGTATCTATATAAATTAGACGGTGTCTATGAGCAAATCACAGAAATTTATCAATAATTTTACTCGCGTTAACGATAATTTCATGATAGCTTGCATAATCGAGAGGCACCGAACAATAATAATTATCGGACTATCGGAGTACTGAGTAATGACACCTGGTCTATGGAAAATCTTTCATTTATATTCGATTCCTTAGCACGTAATTAATTTAAATGAAAAATAATAATCTATGATTTTTTAAAGTTAATCTAAAGTGCTCTACACATTTTTTTTCAAATCCATCTCTAAAATCGTAACGAAACTCACCAGCATTATTGACTTCGTAATCATAGTAGTCTATTTCCATTTCAGCGTGCGAAGTGAGGCTCAGATCGGATTTGAGGAGTCTTCGATTGCAGTTCTCTTTAGTGTGCTTTGGATTGTCGCGGATCTTGGCTGCGGATACACCGCTAAGCGCTGGTGAATACCAGCCCTAGTGACAGATTCAAATAACTTAAATGAGGCTAAATTAGGCAATTTAGGAATTTTCAATTTACATCAACTACTTCGGATAGTAAACCGCGGAGCTGAGTTCGTTTTAATAATTCAGTACTTAAGAAAGAAGAAGGGAACACTTGTTATTGCAATTATGGGTCGGAGAACTCACAGTTTAATCCGTGTTAAAGGGTCACCGAAGATATCACAGCGTGAATGTCGTCATCAACCACAAAACAAGAGGTCGTAGTTTCATTGAATTTTATGGCGGTTTTCCTACCTTTGAAATTGGTAGATACGAATGCTTCGCGATGTATATAGGCAAGGTGATGCTACCTACCCGTATGGGCTTACAACTTATCTTATTAAATAACTTACTTAACCTTCCTAGAAATACACTAGAAGCTACACAAATATATACTTTTTGTGCCTCGCTTGAAAGCAGTACACCACGGGACATGTAGTATTTAAAAAAAAAACATTTAAAATTTAAATTAAGTTAAATATACATAAAAATGATTCGGGCTATAATTTTGTCATTGCTTTCTGGAAATGGTCATTTTCTTGTTATTCTTTTCTTAAATAGGTTTTGCTGTTCAAATCTTATACCTTTAAACGAGCAATTCTTGTATATTAATATATATGTATATAATCTGAATCTCGGAAACGGCTCCAACGATTTTCATAAAATTTGGTATACAGGGCATTTCGGGGGCGATAAATCGATCTAGCTACGATTTATTTTCAGGAAATGTTTTATTCGTGTTTTCAATAATCAACTCTTCCCGACATCTATTGGCGAATAATAATACTATTTTTCTTAATTGAGGGCAACTAACCGCTTTAAAGACACAACAAGATGGCGTTATCAAAAAAAAACCGAGCTAAGCTCGGTCATCATCTGGTAGCTATAAACTACGCCGCTTTCTCTACTACTCATGGTTCGGCATTAAAACTTTATTGGCTTTTAAATTTTACTTCATTTCTTAACTTACATTTGTCAAAGTCGCTGCAGAAGTGGAAGAGGAAGCTCGACTTTCGCTGCGATCTTTCTCCCACGCACTGTCTCTGTCTTTTTCGCTGGAAATGTCATCTCTCTCGCTCACACTGCTGACGCTGGTGCTAAGTTCCATGCCGGTCGTATCGCAGTTAGACGATTGAGGCGGCGAGGTCACTAACGCAGGGTTTTCCAGCAAAACCTGTAGGTCCATTACAATTCACAATGACAACAATGCAAAAATTCCCAATTTTTGTTTATTGCTTGGATGTCTGTTCTGCTGCTGTGCTAGTTCGCGGTCTATCTGATGTTAAGTAGTTACCGGAATCCATAGACATCAATAACGTAAGCCCCGCTCATCCACTTTGCGACATAAATCTAGGTCTGTGTTCTACAACGCCACCCCACCTTTCAAACCGAAGCGCATAACTGCTTCGCGGCCGAATAGGCAGGGTAGTGGCGCTTATGAGCCATCAGAGCTCATAAGACACTCTACCACTAATAAACAATAATTTTTCTATGCTTTCAGTCCACCGACGTCCACTGCTGGACATAGGCCTCCCCCAAGCCTCGCCACAAAGATCGGTCCTGTGCTGCTCTCATCTAGAGGATCCCCGCGAACCTCAATAAGTTGTCCATCTTGTGGGAGACCTACCCACGCTACGTCTTCAGGTAGCGGTCGCCACTCAAAAACATTTCGGCCCTGATGGCCATCCGTTCTACGAGGAATGTGCCCTGCCCACTGCTACTTAAACGTCGCAATCCTTCTGGGCTATGTCGGTTACCATGGTTATTGCCAGTCATGACATATGGCACTGAGACATGATCGCTTACAATGGGCCTTTTGAGAAAACTCAAAGTCACCCAAAGAGCAATGGAGAGGGCTATGCTGACAGCTTTTTTACGAGATCAAATCAGAAATGAGGATATTCGCAGAAATATTTTGCAAAAGGATAACCTAAGTTACTTATTAACTAAAGTCTTTAAATTTTCTCGACAGCCTAGAATTATATTTTTGCGTTGCAGATACTCATGTTTTACTGAAGAACATCTATTGGCTAATTAAATAACGGAACTATGGTAAATTTTTTTTATTACTAGATGGGTGGACGAGCTCACAGCCCACCTGGTGTTAAGTGGTTACTGGAGCCCATAGACATCTATAACGTAAATGCGCCACCAACCTTAAGATAAGTTCTAAGGTCTCAGTATAGTTACAACGGCTGCCCCACCCTTTAAACCGAAATGCATTACTGCTTCACGGCAGAAACAGGCAGGGTGGTACCTACCCGCGAGGACTCACAAGAGGTCCTACCACCAGAAAAAAGTTCGTGTTAGTAAAAAAACAGGAAAGTATTATACATCTTGAAGCGTATGTGATTATATCAGGATTATAGGTCACTGACACTTGTCAAAATGAAAATCTAACCTTCGTAGTAACATTAGAAGCTGATACGGTTCTCGATCGTCGCAGCGGTGATGGTATGACGCTGTTTCTACCAGCCGGAGCGCTGCTAGCCGATACCGTCTCCGGTGTGACGGTGGCTTGGCTGGCCACGCTCTGAGCGCTCACCACGCTCATATTATCAGCCACGTCCTGCTCCTGATCAGAGGGTTCATCTTCGTCTCTATGGAAGTTCAATTCATGGGGAATTTTAATTATTTTAAGGAATTGTGCAAAAATGAAACTATAGAAAAAACAAAATAAAAAATTCTTTGAATTTAAGCAACTCACAGGGATAATAACTCTGCATGACTACACATCCTGGATACATTTTAGCTCGGAAATAAACAAGCCTTAGAGTACTTTATTATGAGTTCCCTAACACTCACCATTAGTTCATGCTCACACAATAGCACTAGACGTAATAATAATAACAAACACACCCCACTGTTCCAACCCTCTTTGAGCCAAGAGTGTGGCTAATTAGTAAATTCCTTTATGGAACTTTCGAGCATTTTTCGAGGATGGTTGGAAGGGCCTCTTGATAGTGATATTTCTGTTGAAAGTAATTTGTATTCCTATGGATCGATCGTAGAGTCTTATTCCACTTTTCTTGCCTGTGTGCCACTAATTCAGATTGAAGCAATACTTACGAAGATTTTAAACACAAATTAATATGTTTTTATTTATTTATTCACAAAAACAAAATAACTAACTGAAGTTAAAAACATCTGGAAGCACATCGCCAGGAGGGCAGTCCTGAGAAACACGGACGACCTCACAAACACTTCTACATATGTACATACAGCCTCAGCGCAACCACGACCACTCTGACTAGAATACTAACTAAGAAAAAGAAAAACATTCCTGGCCTAAAAATAAATCTATATATTAATACGTGAAGCCAAAACTTTGTACGCCTTTTTACGAAAATTGCGCGGACGGAAGATTATAAAAGTTCCCACACTTATAGAGAATATAGAGAAGGTGTGCAGAATGGTAATATTTTTTTTTAATTATGCATCAATAATACGTTAATCAATTTAAAAAAAACATTACACACACTACCATGTATTTGACACACACACACACATATATACTCTTTGTTTATTGTTAAACTTTTGTAATTGCTTAAAGTCTGTGGTCAAATTGAGAGAAATTAAGAGGTCAAATGGTAATATTGTGTATCTTTAATATTATTTCTCTATAGTATAGTCTTGGCGAAATCTGTGATTCTAGAAGTTTAATAGTTTTTGACAATATAACCTTAATAATGTTCAAACTTATAATTTCAATTAATTATCGCAGTAGTCGAATTTCGCAGTAGTCGAATTTCGACTACTGTGGGACCACTAGTCCAAGGTAAAAACGTTAAAGTGATTAATATTGCACACACGACCAAAAGAGCCTACGGTTTATCTAGTGTTAAGTGGTTACCGGAACCACATCACAATATGAACTCTACCCACCTTGATATTTGAGATCTACATAATATGTTGCTGATAAAAAGTTTATTTAAATAAAATGTATGTTAAGCACAAGTACACAAATATCAAGATAACATATCTGCTGTAATCGCTGGTGATTGACTGCTTATCATAATTACTCTAACAATAGATTAGAAAGGAATCAAATAAAATAATTCATGAACGAATTTCATGGATTTTTGATAACATAACCTTCTTTAGTGCCAACTAGTAGGATCACAGCGCATTTAATGGTGATAATTTACCATTAAATGAAGGCAATCGAAAATATATCTATGACCCTACATGTTTGAAGTTTTTTTTTATTGCTTAGAGGGGGACGAACTCACAGTCCACCTGGTGTTAGGTGGTTACTGGAGCCCATAGACATCTACGACGTAAATGCGCCACCCACCTTGAGATATAAGTTCTAAGATCTCAGTATAATTACAACGGCTGCCCCGCCCTTCAAACCGAAACGCATTACTGCTTCACGGCAGAAATAGGCAGGGTGGTGGTACCTACCGGCGCGGACTCACAAGAGGTCCTACCACCAGTAATTACGCAAATTATAATTTTGCGGGTTTGATTTTTATTACACGATGTTATTCCTTCACCGTAGACGTAATTCGTGAACATTGGTTGAGTACGTATTTCATTAGAAAAATTGGTACCCGCCTGGGATTCGAACTCTGGTGCATCGCTCAACACGAAGGAATGCACCGGACGCCCTTATCCTTTAGGCCACGATGACTTCAAAAGTGCAGTAAGTAGAAGAGCCAAGTTTATTCTAGAGCTGAATTAAACGTAACATATTACCTACTTGAATTAATTTCATTTTTATCCCGTATTTTATAAACCATGTATTTGGAATGCATGATACTACTACACCAGCAGTACAGTTACTGGTGATAAAGCGTATTTTCAGTCCGCACGGGTAAGTACCACCTCCCTGTCTGTTGCTGTCGTCACAGCAAAGAGTCTTTGACCCATATTAATGTTCAAACTTATAATTTCAAATAATTATAGTCGAATTTCGACTACTGAGGGACCACTATCTCATATAACCCGACCAAGTTATTTACTAGTTACTTCAGTATTACATGGTTACATGTATCTAACTAATAGTTGATTGAATTTGGGATTACGAGTATTTGTGGTTGATTAAACTGCCGCTATGTTATACCGTAACTTAATTGATCCACATCAAAATTTACTGAAATTACTCTTACCTTTGCTCTACACGTTCAGAGGCTCTATCGAAGTCCCTCAGTCTGGTGTGACGAGTCTTCCCTGAAGGTAGGAGTCGACGGAGGGATACACCTCCCCCGACCACTTCGGATAGTAGAGTGCTACGAGAACCGGCAGTCGTTCTCCCTAGTTCCAGAGATGCTGAACAGGCTAGGTGGAGAAGACAGAAAGTACATGTTAATTCATGACGTATACAAGTGTAGTGTTCGCTCGCGCGGCCCGCACACACTTGAAACCCCTTCAGGTTATTCAATCCCGTTTTTGCAGGATAGCAATCGGAGCACCATGGTTCCTAAGGAGCGTGGATCTCCATGATGACCTGGAGCTTGATTCAGTTAGTAAGTATCTACAGTTGGCATCATTGCGCCACTTTGAGAAGTCGGCACGACATGAGAACCCTCTTGTCGTGGCCGCTGGAAATTACATACCCGATCCTTTTTTTATTGCCTTTGTAGGCAGACGAGCATACGGTCCACCTGATGGTAAATGGTCACCGTCGCTCATGGACGTTAGCAATGCCAAGGACAAAGCCTACCATTAAGTACTCTTCAAACCTTCTTCAAACGAGGCTTGCGGAGAGTACTTAATGGATCCTGTAGACCGAATGGTAAATAGTCGACGTCACCCAAAACACGTCATTATGGATCCTCCCGATCCATTAGCGGTGCTTTTAGGTACCACAAGCACCGGTCACCGCCTTCGACGAGCGAATTAACCTATGGACAGAGCCCACTGAGTTTTTCGCCGGATCTTCTCAGTGGGTCGCGTTTCCGATCCGGTGGTAGATTCTGCGAAGCACTGCTCTTGCTAGGGGCAGTGTTAGCAACACTCCGGTTTGAGCCCCGTGAGCTCACCTACATACGTTAGGGTGAAGCTGAAATAGCCTCTCAACGCTATCAGCATAGGTAGGAAAAAAAAACACAACATATCTGCTATAAAAAATACATGTGCTGACATCTACCTTCAGGTACGCATACTACCATGTCGCAAAACAATTTATAATTTAGCCACACTATAATTAGCTAACTGAATTAATTTAGCGACTTAAATTGATTATAACATAGTTAAAAGAAATAACTTAAACGTAATATTTTTAACGCGGTACGATAATTATTCATGTAATGTATTAAATTATTCCTGCTACAAATCTACTGTCAAGTAGTAATTTAGAAATATTATGTCAAACATACATTTTACTACACTAGATGGGGCTTGACAATTCAATACAATATGATTATGATATGTTTTAGATATTCTGATTTTTATGTATTCGCCGATAAGGTCTGTTATTCTATTTGATTGTATAACATAAAGTTTTTTTTGTAAGCCCTCTGTTTTACTGCCCAAAATATATACTGTAAAAATGTTTTTCTTCTTTCTTTTTCTCCTATTAACTACTACGTCTTATGTCTCTGATATATATACATACTTTTATTCATTTCCGTTGAAACTATACATAAGGCCCAATCCAATAAAAAGCATTCTAATAAAGCGGTAGGCAGCGGCTTGGCTCTGCCCTTGGCATTGCTGAAGTCCATGGGCGACGGTAACCACTCACCATCAGGTGGGCCGTATGCTCGTCTGCCTACAAAGGCAATAAAAAAAAAAAAAAAAAACTTTTTCTCCGAGTCTTTCATTGAAACATTTTAATTGTGCGTAAACATTCATTATATATATATATATATATATATATATATATATATATATATAACGCTATTTTACTTCTATATGTATACTAAATGTAAAGTTTAACGGTGTTTGTTAATTGGGCCATGTCGAAAATATTCTCTGTTAAAATTGCTGGGCTTAAAAGTTTTCTCAGCATCTTGCGACTCCACAAGGGTAGATACCACTGCCTATTTGTACCGCGAATCAGTAATGCCTTCGTTTAAAGGATGGAGCAGCCGTTATATCTTTATATATATAATTCAACTGTATGTGTGTATGTCGCTGGAGTCCTCCTAAACGGCTGGACTGATTTGAATGATCTTTTTGTATGTATTTAGGTCACATATCAGCCTGGCAGATCGCGCTGCAGTCGGTATCTAAGTTATTTATTTATACTGCAACTAAGTGGCTGGATCGACTTGAATGAATTTTTGTGTATGCGTTCGTTCATTCATTTCATTCATTTCGTGTATACAGGAAAATGTCTGTCGGATCCGCTAGTGTACTATAAAAACTGAGGCTCTGAATAAGCTCATAACCCAATTGACAGTAGGTACTCACTGGTGGTAGGTCGTCTTAAGAGTCCGCACGGGTAGGAACCACCATCCACCTATTTCTTCCGTGAAGCAGTAATGCGTTTCGGTTTGAATTGTGGGGCAGCCGTTGTTACTATACTGAGACTTTAGAACTTATATCTCAAGGTGAGTGGCGCATTTACGTTGTAGATGTCTATGGGCTCCAGTAACCACTTGAGACCAGGTGGGCTGGGAGCTCGTCCACCCATCTAAGCAATAAAGAAAAAGTTACTAGAAGTCATAGACATCACAAGATTTGTGATTTGAGGTCTGTCTCAATGGTGTAGTTGCTGGAAATATTATTTACAAATATAACAACAGTACAGTTCCTTTATTACACGATTTGGAAAATAGTATTAAACATAAAACTTTAATATGTTTTCTTTTTTCTAGTTAATCTACATACAACAAATAACAACAAAGTCAAGTCCAATAACCTTACGATAATAATCTTCAACGAAATTTATCGTTCTAAGGTAACTCGTCACGGCAAGGACACGGCAAAATGATTTCATTTACAAACCATTAACCAAGCAAAATGAATGAATGTAAATGAAGAATAATTTAGCTTTGATCAATTTAAAACGAACTAAGCAAACTAATTGGATCTACAAAATCTAAGAATCGAATTGGTAAGTAAGGTTACCTTATTTAGTTAGACAGACAATCGCCGGGAGTAGTTAGAATAGCCCAATAGGCTACCAGCGAATAGGTTTTTAGTATTTATTGCTTAGATGGGTGGACGAGCTCACAGCCCACCTGGTGTTAAGCGGTTACTGGTTACTACGCCACCCATCTTGAGATATAATTTCTAAGGCCGCAATTATAGCTACAACGGCTGCCCCATCCTTCAAACCGAAACGCATTACTGCTTCGCGACAGCGTGCGGACTCACAAGAGGTCCTACCATCAGTAAAGGTGGAGAAATAAATAGACAGTTCTCAGGGTGCTTAATAGTTGCAAGAGCCCGTTGATCTCATGCCGCCAATCACTTTAAGACATGAATTCGAAGTATTATCTGTATTGAATTTCTAAGTTTTACTATTTGTTTTTCTGTGTTAGACGTTTTAGATCGCCAGTGAATGCTTAAAATCAGGTACGTCGTTAACTGGATAGCTTTTTTTTTTTTTTTTGTCAGGAGGAAATCGCCGGACTCCCACCCTCCACTGGGGATGGAGGGTGGGGCATGTCGGAGTCGAACCGACTAAAACCTCCTGTCGCTCAACAACCAACGTCCAACCCTCGCATGAGACAGAACTCATGAAAAGGCAAGGGGAGGAGAGTGAAGCGTTTAGTGCGGAGCACATCTCTCCCATCACCCTCCCCCTCGGGACGCCGGACTGGCGGTCGTCGGCGCCACGACCACCAGCCCTCTCGGTCGGCAGGCTATCCGAAGCCCGCCTAGATGGCGCCGGTTAGAATGGTCTATCCTACGGAATACCCCGCTGGGTCAGAACCAGCGTGGGTTGAGGATAGCCGGCCTTCCATCACCCGGATGCTCATGCATAAAACGCGTGCAGAGCAGCTTGCACGTCGTCTTCTTAGGCCCCCTTCGCCGGTCCCCAGGCCGACATGTGAGGGGACCCGAAACACTTAGAGGGCCAGGGCTTGGGCGATATCCGCCTCCCTGGCCCCCGCTCGACGGCGGCGGGCCTGTGCGTCTCTCACGCGCCCCGCCGCCTCCTTCTGCGAGATGGTGCACTCGCAGAAGTCGAGCATCGCCTTCCACGACTCGTCGTCGCCGAGCATCGATGCCACAACACTCGGCAACGACAAGTCGTTTCCTATTTTTGCGACGAGGACACGGCGCCACCCCTCCCATGCGGGGCAGGCAACGAGCGTGTGCTCCGCCGTGTCCAAGTCGCAACCACAATGGTAACACTCTGCCGTCGGCTCGGCTCCGATCCGGTGCAGGAACTCACCGAAGCAACCATGCCCAGTGAGCACCTGCGTGAGCCGGAAAGTGAGGCGTCCTCTGTCACGATTCACCCAATCCACAAGAATCGGGCGAATCGCCTCGACGGTCCTACGACCAGCCGAAGGATCGGCCAGCCGCCTGGACCATGACTCCAGCACGGACCGCCGAGATTGGGCCCTCCGCGCTCTGACCACACTGGGGCTGGGACGCGCCACGCCCCGGGCACGAAGGTTAGCCCGCCACTGATAGTCAGCGGCGAGCGCCTCCGCCTCCAGGACCCAAGGCGGCGTCCCAGCCAGTACACACGCCGCCTCAAAAGAGATGGTGCGATAACCACGGATGACCCTGACCGCGATGGTGCGTTGCGGCCGTTGCAGCAACTTCGCTACCCCCACGGCCAGGGACTGGCCCCACACGGGTGTAACTGGATAGCTAGTTTAAATTTAAATAAATAATAGTTTGAAAAAACTAAAAAAATACGCTTTTACAACTAAAAAATAGAAAATAAATTTTAATAAATTTGAATTATTTTTTTTTAATTAAATTTCTAATTTTTTGGTATATTTTTATTTTTCATAAATTTCATCTGAATCATTCGGTAACTTATCCGAGAAATTGGTGATCGGCCGCCTGGTAGTTGTCCTTTTTGGTCTTGACGCAGACACTCCGGGTCTCAGGAAAACAAAAAATTGCTAATCCTGATTATCCTAGTAAGGATCAAACTGTATAAAATATTGAATTATTGTCATCGGTCCTTAATAAGTATGCCAAATTTCGAGTTAATCCGACGTTTTGAAGGAGGTCAAAATCATGTTCAAAGATTCCGTTACATACTAAGATACGTATGAAGCTAGTAAAAGCGTATTAAAAAGAAACAATAATATAAAGAGTTTTAATGAACAGCAAATCATACCATCACTATCGGTTAAAGACTCTTTATCGGCAGCGCGCTGGTAAGCTCTAGTGCGATGGGCGGAATGTAGAGCCAGACATAGAGCGGCGAGTGCTGCAGCCGCCGCGAGGGTTACGGCGGCTCCTCGCGCCCCGCCCCCGCTCCGCCACCACTCCCCTCCCCGCATTGACGCCCACGCCGCCGAGACGTTGCGAATCGGTTCTGCAGACGAAATTGGATATTAAAATTTCACACTGAAGAGTAACTACAGACTGACGGATGACATTAATTTTAGCTTATCTATTCAGTCCTCTATTCAGCTTGCGGTAGGCAGCGGCTTGGCTCTGCCCCTGGCATTGCTGAAGTCCATGGCCGACGGTAACCACGCACCATTAGGTGGGCCGTATGCTCGTCTGCCTACAAAGGCAATAAAAAAAAACAGTAGGAACCTAACCCTAACTCACCGACTTGACTAGCGTGAGCCAAGAAACCTCCGGAGCAGTGTTCGCTGGTGTCTCCAGACCTCAGCTCCACCAGAATGTGCTGACCTCCAGCGATCTCCATGGCTCCGGTACTGTCCGTTGTTGTTTCCACATCACCGATCTATAATTCAGAATTTGGTTGACTTCCGATGCCGGGCAAGTTTTACGATCAAAAAAGTATCTTTGTCAATTATAATCTCTTTGAAAGAGCATCTTAGAATGAACAACATAATTGATTAGTCAATTGAATTATGTATCCATGCTGTTTTTGGCTTCCAAATGCATAATTCATCGTCTTCTTAATATCAATCTTCGTTGAAAAGGTATCTTAGATTTGCAAATATAAATTAATTTTATGGGAGGTTCATACAGAAAATAAGATCCGAATACTACTACTGCTTCTATGGGTAGACGAAACGGAAAAATCAGCAGTATCTCGAAGGTAGTTGGGATCACATAAACGTATCTTCTAAATAATAAATAATTAGATTGGATTTTTAACAACCCGTAAAGGGTATGTTATAGCACCTCTGATTACGATCTATGCAATTCTCGAATTATATCAATAATAAGCAAATATAATGCCTTTGTGCTTATTCTAAAGATCTTTTTTTCTTACCTAAGCTGATAGCCTTGAGAGGCTATTTCAGCGTAACCTTAACTATTTCTGAAGAATAGAAGATTCAGATTTCTGAAAATCTACCACCGGATCGGAAACGCGACCCACTGAGAAGATCCAAAAGACCACTGAATAGATCTATAGGTTTTTATGGATTTATTTATTTATTTGGGAAACAAACAGTACAATACAAACATATAATATTTTAAAAAAATATAGCTAAAACAGTAACCAAATATGTTTCCACAATCAAAATCACATATAAGTAGAAAGTGAACAAGAAGAGAAATTTAGAAATTTAAATTACACAAAAACAAAAGCAACACAATACGCACATATTATTTTATACATTAACTTAATGGATCCTTAAATTCCACCAAAATGATAGGTTCTATGAATTATCATTCTTCTTCTTCTTTGTCTCCACCTTATCCCACTAGGTGGGGTCGGCACAGCAAATTTTCTATTCCATTCTCTCTATCAGTCGTCATCTCAACACTCAATCTTCTCTCTCTCATTACGTCATTTACACATTCTTCTTCAAAAAGTCTTCTTCGGTTAACCTCTTCCCCCGAGGTTAAAGTACTTAAAGAATTATCATTGTTGATCAGAAACTAATACATACAACAGCAGAACTGTCCGGTCCATCCCAAGAAGCCAACAGCGGAGATCCTAAAGAATCTCCATCACGGGCTCTCAGAGCTTGACCGGCGCATGGCAACCGTACCGCTTCAATACGAAGACGAACTTCAAGTCCTTCTTCGGCCTAAAAGACAGTGAGTTACATTAAAGAAGAACTCCATCATCTCTTCGTAATTAAAGTATAGTTGTATCTAAGTATTTCTTAATCCAAAAATGTCCACTTTTTATGCTTAACGGAGAAAGCAAGTGCCATATAAAGAAAAATGTTTTCCTAATTTAACTTCCACTGTGCTCCACACAACTTTCCATCATATGATTCATCAAAAAGGTTTGTTGAAGTTACTTATAGTTTATATCGATGATCCTATTTATGACACAAATTCAGAGCGTCTTTGAAAGGACTCCACTATATTTCAATAACTTTTAATTTCCAGGCCATAAAGCCTAAAAAGAATTAAAACGCATCTATGTCAGCTTAGTTAATAAACTTGTGTGGCATGCCATTGTATTTTCGTAAACACTATACGATTTCTTTTTGGCTTCATTAATGGAGGAACATCACAAATAACCAATAATAACTTTTAGGCCCGAAATTCAAACAATATTTCAGAGAGCTAAAATATCAATCGTGTATTAACAACCAGCTCCCAAATACTTCATAAAACAGTTTAAAGTTTCGTCTAGTTTTGGTTATGTTATGTTACGAAGCGAAAGCTTTCGATCGGCCCCCTGAAAGCTGCGGTGGGCGCGTTGTCTCAAGTTTTAATTGAAATTTAACTGGTAACAAGTTACGTTGTCGCATGAGATCGTATTCTGGTCTTTGAAGCTGTGCGCTACTTTGCCTATTTTGACTAGTTTATTATATATAGGTTGGCTTGGCGTACCTACTTTAGATCTTTGGTATTTTAATTTAGTAACATTTATTGAATACTTGAGTATTATTGAACTTTTTTTTTCGCCCATGGACTTCAGCAATGCCAGGGGCAGAGCCAAACCGCTGAAGACCATTAAGTACTCTCCACAAGCCTCGTTTGAAGAAGGATATGTCATAGCGCTCGGGAAGCACCGTGGAGGGGAGCTCATTCAAAAGCCGGATGGTACGTGGCAAAAAAGGTATCTGGAAATGCACTGTGGATGAACGCAGTGGCTTCAGGTAGTATGGATGAACTCTACTCCGGTGGCGGGCGGGGCGATGGTAAAAACGAGATGATCGTATTATCTCAAACAATTCCTCGTTTCTCCTAACTATCTAATATCAACAATCATCAGTGAATATATAATGGGGACAACGTTACACACCTAGTAAGCACAATAAATTCTGTTTGATTGGCGAATTGTTCTAGCTTATGTAAAACTACATGACTTTAGGTACATAAGCTAGGTACATCACTTTAGTATCGCGACGGCCAGTAGGGTCTATCGAGAAACCTGTTCTTCAGGTTAGGGTCAACGGTAAAAGACCTCGTGGACGAAGCCCTATGCATTGGACTGATCAAGTGAAAATCTTTACGAAAACCTCACTTAACGAGTGCGTGCGTCATGCCTCAGTTCGCGAATTATGGAGAACTATCAAGGCTATAATAAACAAGAATTCCACATGACCACGACCACTCCGCCAAGAGCAAAGAACTATGATGATGATGAAGCTACAAAATTATACGAAATATGAAAAGAAAATCTAACTCTATGTAGAGTCTCTAGGAGACATCACTTTATAATATGGATTGTAATTGAGTGTTCTTGCTGTGTAGGTAATTGAAGAGAATAAATAAGTTTGTAGGTACTGCTTTTAATTAAATTGTTTTTCAACCAAGAACCCAATAAAAATATTAGCTAAAAACTTTTCCGTTATCCGGATAGCCGGTTTTAAGGGTTTTATAAACACCACATTTGGATGGTATTAACCGATAATTCGTTGAAACCCAAAGCCCGACTCCACCTACGTCCCCAGCATACGACCACAAATCTGTTTCCTAATGTTGGATGCTAACTTTTGATTGGAGCCAGTTAATATTAAGAGGCTTAAGGTAATTGTTTCGTGCTTGGAATAAGGAAAGTTAGCGGACGTGAGCCACACAAATTGATATGGGTTTATGTGTCATCCTTGTGAATTCCTTGAGGAAAGTTCGGGTAATAATTGTATTTGGAATTTGTGATAGTACGATCATTTAAAAAACGTAGAGGCATGAACCATTGGACATGTATTTGTTGGATTGCGACCCAGACATCAGGAACTAAACCGAGTTATAGCATACAGGAATTTCTTATTATTAAATAATCACCGATCGTAACTTAGTAATTTAAATAAAACTATAAAAATGGAGACTGAACTAATTAAATTACATTCGTTAACTATAACCAAATAAAAGAGATATTTTTAGATGGCGAATGGTAACATAGGCGGTCAAATAGGACTGTACTATCTGTCAGAGACAGAGTTCCGTGCACCCACAGCTATAGGGACAGTAGTAATCGTCAAAGACAATGTTCCATGTCCAATTCGCCGTCTCAACTGTCAAAACGTTCGTATCTCATGTACGTGCCACTAGCATCTTCTAAAAGTAGTTTCTCGCAGTTGCCAGCACACAATATACGACTACCCGTCATATTCATCACTTAGTTTATACTGAAACTAATTTATTATATATATACATTTTGACTAACTCGGTGATGCAATAGTTTGCACTCCTGACTGTTACACCTAGTGTCGTGGTTTCGATTCCCACATCGTGCGAAGATTTGTGTGATGAACAGATTTGTTTTCTCTTTGTCTGGATGTTTATTAACTATATACATAGGTATTTTTAAACGTATATAAGTTTGTATGTCAGTTTCTGATACTCGTAACACATGGAATACCAATTTAGGGCTTGATAATTGTACGTTATTACAAATAATGTAATGTTTATATATATAAACACTATCAGACATCCCGTACCACGATTTTTACTTCTAGCGAATTCCCGATATTACAGGGGTTTTTATCATGAGTAGAGTAAACGAATAAAGAGCGTCTATGTAGAAAGTCGTGAAAATGCAAAACAATACATTATTAATTATCTATAGTTACTTGATGACTTCCCAGTTGTATATTATTAAATATAATAAAAAATATTTTTATTTATTTATTGCTTGTTTGCAAGAAAACTCACACGAAAACAATAAAACTCTTTAAGATGTCTAATAAAAATTTAAATATACGCATATTTACTTCTGTAATAACAATCGTAGTTGAATGTTATTTATTGAAGTGCATTCGTTTCGCTCCAACGGAAGCTTCCTCGTTTCATGGTTCATCCATTGTGAAGTGCAGCACCTAGATACATTTCCTTTTGTTGCAGGCCGCGATCGATGGCTCTCATTATTCTTTTAAACAAAGCGTTTTTACGATTTAAGGTAACGGCACTGTTCTGTTTATTTACTGTTTGTTTGTTTTTTATTGCCCTTGTAGGCAGACGAGTATATGGGCCACCGGATGGTCAGCGGTTACCATCGCCCATGGACTTCAACGGTGCTAGGGGCAGACCCAATCTGTTGCCTACCGTACCACAAGTTCCGTTTGAAGAAGGTCATGTTTGGACATGAAGGCGGTGTGTGATGTGTGAAGAAGATAAACTTCTTCGACCCCTGTCCTCCTAATGCTGAGTGTAGGTCACATGTACTTCACTCGTTACGGCCTCTTCTTGCCTTTCGCATCCAGTCCCTACCAGCCACTTTGACCAGGTCATCGATCCACCTCGTTGGCTGTCTGCCCACGTTACGACGTCCAGTACGAGGTCTCCACTTCAATACTCTTGTGCCCACTGATTATTAGTACGACATTAACTGTTTAAAATATGACAATGATTGCATGTGTCAAGCTCTTAATGTCCCCGTGCTGAATACGAAATATACATAAAAACAGAACCGATTATTTACTGGTAGTAGAACGTCTTGTGAGTCCGCATGGGTAGGTACCACCGCCGTACCTATTTCCGCCGTGAAGCAGTACTGCGTTTCGGTTTGAAGGGTGGGGCAGCCGTTGTAACAACTATACTTGAGACCTTAGAACTTATATCTCAAGGTGAGTGGCATTTACGTTATAGATGTCTATGGGCTCCGGTAACCACTTAACACCAGGTGGCCTGTGAGCTCGTCCATCCATCTAAGCAATAAATATATATATATATCTTTTTTTTTTTCGACTCGAAATATTTTCAAATTTTCCTTTCACTCAAATAGTACGGAGCGTAATAACTTGAACGAGGAAAGAGCAGCGTTTACAGCAAGCACTGTGGGCACTCAGACAATTTGAAACAAAGTTGTTAATGGACTGAGCTCCCGAACCATGAATAGTCAAAAGTTTGCATTTTATTTTCCCACTGAAATTTTGTTAGTATACAATTTTAAACTGATGTTTTACTGTAATGGCGTTTTTATTAAATACGTTTTTTTTCGTGCACTTCCGAAACATTTTGTGAGTGCTCGTGGTGAGAAGGACGTCTTGTTACGTAGGTATCATCACCTTACCTATTTCTGCCGTGAAGCAGTAATGCATTTAGGTTTGAAACGTGGAGCAGCCGTTGTACTGTAAAAACTGAGACCTTAGAACTCTTATCTCAGCAGTGTAACAGCATTTATATTGTAGACGAGAATATGGGCTCCGGTAACCATTTAAGACCAGGAGGCCGGTGAGCTCGTGCACACGTTTAAGCAATAAAAATAAAATAAAAACATTAACACTGCTAAATCAGCTAACTACTTCTCAAGGTTAAGCTAAAACCAAAACTTCTAAAAGGTCATATTTAGAAGTATCGAAAATTATTATAATACAAAATCAAAATATTAACTCGAATTCAGACACAAATCTGATCGAAATTTGTTCTTATAGTTAGATATCAGTAAATACCGAAAACCACGGACATGAATAAGTTTTCATGACACATTCGGAACAACAAATTCAATTATGGAGCGTTTACACTAGTCGAACTGGCTAGGCTAGTGGCAAATCACTAAGTGACAAGTCACTAAGCAGAGTACCTGGAGTTAGAAGTCGTCGTGGCCTAAAGGATAACACGTCCGGTGCATTCGTATGTATCAATGCACCGGTGTTCAAATCCCGCTGTTAAGTACCAATATTTCTAATGAAATACGTACTTAACAAATGTTCACGATTGACTTCCACAGTGAAGGAATAACATCGTGTAATAAAAATCAAACACGCAAAATTATAATTTACGTAATTACTGGTGGTAGGACCTCTTGTGAGTCTGCACAGGTAGGTACCACCACCCTGCCTATTTCTACCCTAAAGGGTGGGGCAGCCGTTGTAACTATACTGAGACCTTAGAACTCATATCTCAAGGTAGGTGGTGCATTTTCGTTGTAGATGTCTATGGGCTCCAGTAACCACTTAACACCAGGTGGGCCGTGAGCTCGTTCACCCACCTAAGCAATAAAAAAAACGTTATTTTCCTTGACTGCTACTGAAGAATCTGTTATGAAACCGAAGCTAAGCTAAGGCTTCTGTGTCGTAAATAGAATGAAAAAGAGATAACACGATCAATAGTTGTTCAAGCAATCATTTGAATATTGATTAACAGATTTGAAAATTTAACTTTTCTATTTAAAGATATCAAAAACCTTCTTCGGTGGGTACCAGGTTCGATGAAATTAAGAACCTTAACTAAAATTGGCAAGTATCTGTCATCAAAATATTGTGTGTGTTTGAAATCTCCTGTATAATTCACCAGTGCCATATTACACTTGACACGTCGATAAGGAAAGACGATAGTTTCTTCCACCCAAACTTTTTAAGACAAATAAATAATATATGACCATACAATTCCAGGCAGTGAATAGCTTAAGAAATTTGGAGAAATAATTTCCAAGCATCTTCGCACACTTAAAAGGCATTATATTGGTTCATAATACTCTAAATATATGTATTTGACTTATTTCTAATGTATTTTCGTTCATTTTCGCCAGCAATCAAACCAAATTTGGTGCTGTGATCGTTTTAATCCAAGGCACCTTACTGCCGGTTTTGTTCATTTGCGTTTCAATTGAATGAATAATGTTGGGACTTCGTTTTCCTTACTACTGCCTCAATTCGCAAACGCCATTTGTTCACGTCCTAAGTGAAACAATGTATGCCTCAAGAAAAAACGGCATAATAACAAAAACACGGTACCAAACTCGTTAACTTCTGTAATTATTTTGTTCATCTGCTAGGAATCACGACACTAAAAATCATGAGTCCATAACGGAGCTTCGGAGTTCACCTTTTATAGTGACTTACAGTCCGAATAACATTCAAAGTATAATATATAGTAGAAGTATTGTGGTTTTATTAATAGATGGTTTTAAGTAGACTAAAGGTCCCGCAGTAGTCGAAAATCGACTATAATTAATTGTAATTGTAAGTTTGTACACTATTATGATTATATTTGATACTTCTATAATCACTAATTTCGCCAAGACTACACTATAAAAAATATTAACAAAGACAAACAATATTTAATCTATTCTCAATTTGACCACAGACGTCAAGAACAAAAGTTTGACAATAAATAGTATGCATGCGTGTGTGCGTCAAATACATGGTATGTAGTGTGTGTAATGTTTTCTTTATTGATTTAAAGTATCTTTTATGCATTATTTAAAAAAAAAAATTAGCATTGTGCACTGCTTCTCTATATTCTCTATAAGTGTGGAAAATTTCATACTCCTCCGTCCGCGCAATTTTCGTAAAAAGGGATACAAAGTTTTTGCTTCACGTATTAATATATAAATAGAATGATTGCTTAAAATTCTACTGCAGCTGAAGTGTGCAGTATTCTGTATATACGGGTTCAAAGGATATCTCAACATCAGCAAGAGCATTAACGAAATATAAGATTTTAAAATTGAATCTGTGTTTAGGTAAGTAACTCGCGCAAGTCGATTAGGACATGTAAACATGCCCACTCAAAATGTGATGGTTCTCATGGAATAGATTTGAAGTACGGAGAGTAGCACAACTATTTGGTTCTTGCAATATCGCCCCAAGCGCCAAAAGGACATTCAATTTGGGGATAGATTAGGGATAGGGAAGGGTTATTGGCTAAGATAGTTAATAATATATATAAGAATTATTATTATTTTTAATATTTAGAACAATTTCTGTGGCTTCGCGTTTATTCGTGATGTAAAAAATTTGCACTACTTTTAATAGATGTAGATGAAATTTTAAACAGCAGATGTTGAAAATTCAGTGAGGTTTGTGCATTTCTTTAGAATACAATAGGGACTCTAGAGTTATTTCATTTTGTCAATGTACTTTTGGAAATTTCTCATGATAGTCAGAGCTAAGCATGACCATTTTTATTAAGTTATTACTAGCGAGTAGTGGTTAATTGTTCTGACTATTTTATCACATCTATCGAGTTCGATTTCGGATCGGAGACTAGTCTCCGTTAGCGATGTTTGGTATTTGAGATCTAGGCTTAATTGTGTCGACTCTTTTGTATTCCTGACACCTATAATAAATGAAATCCAAACTAGCAGCCGCTGAATGTTAAATGTTTATTGTACACACACTGTACACACTTTGTATATACTGATTGTACCTAGTGAGAAATTAATATCAGTGATGGCATGTTATAGCTTTCAAAACCCTTGAGACTGATAGAATATATGCAAGATCTCTTGTCAATTGTAAACGTACTGTATTTCAATATGTCACCATCATTTCGCCAATCACTATTGCTTGTTGCTCCTACTTCCGTTTAAACTATAAACTGTCGATATATCAGATGAAGCATTAAAACTTTTGAAATGAAACTTCTAATGCGACTTCCAACAAAGTTGCGTTAAACATTTAACACGACTATACTAGAAAGAGACAGAGCGTGAGTGAATGCGTGGCACTCGAACGCATGCGCGTAGTATACTTGTTACAGGCCAGCGCGAGCGTTAGCAACGAGTAGCGTCCAGCATTTTAATGAAGTATTTAAAAAAATAGATATATATGTATATATTTATTTTTCTATCTATAATTTAAAACATATATAATATAAACGTTGACGATGTCGCATCTCTTATACACAGCATTCCCTATTACAAGAGCAATCTGATTTAAGCATGAAAAATGAAGAAAACTACATCGACAAAGAAGTGTCACTTCATTCACGTGCACCAAGTTGCACGCGCACCGTTTTATTTATTTATTTTGAAAGCTATCCCCCTACAGATTCGTAGATTGACAAGTGTTAGATATTGGCTTATTACTTACGTTGTGCTTACAACGACCCAGGGGTACAAACCTGCAGTAACCAAAACGACCTTGTCTTGCAGGCCCTCGCGGAACCAGCCAACAGTCTGGCGGCCGGCGCTAGATGCAGCACGCACCCACACCTACACTTTGGTCCCACTTCAGCTACCACTGTAGAAGAGTCTCCTGCCCATGGTTTCGCTGCGCACTCACACGCTGCCAGCTCCACCGCTTGCCCCTGTGTAAGAGCAAGTAAGCATGATTTTAGTTTTTCTAATTGTTATTAATTTTTTTATTGCTAGATTGGTGGACGATCGATTTGATCGATTTGATCATCGATTTTGAAGTCGTCGTGGCCTAAAGAATAAGACGTCCGGTGCATTCGTGTTGAAGCGATGCACCGGTGTTCGAATCCCGCAGGCGGGTACCAATTTTTCTAATGAAATACGTACTCAACAAATGTTCACGATTGACTTCCACGGTGAAGGAATAACATCGTGTAATAAAAAAACCAAACCCGCAAAATTATAATTTGCGTAATCACTGGTGGTAGGACCTCTTGTGAGTCCGCACGGGTAGGTACCACCACCCCGCCTATTTCCGTCGTGAAGCAGTAATGCGTTTCGGTTCGAAGGGTGGGGTAGCCGTTGTCACTATACTGAGACCTTAGAACTTATATCTCGAGGTGGGTGGCGCATTTACGTTGTAGATGTCTATGGGTTCCAGTAACCGCTTAACACCAGGTGGGCTGTGAGCTCGTCCATCCATCTAAGCAATAAAAAAATAATAAAAANAAAAAAAAAAAAAAAAAAAAAAAAAAACGATCCACCTGGTGTTAAGTGGTTACTGGAGCCCATAGACATCTATGACGTAAATGCGCCACCCACCTTGAGATATAAGTTCTAAGGTCTTAAGTATAGTTACAATGGCTGCCCCACCCTTCAAAACGAAACGCATTACTGCTTCACGGCAGAAATAGGCAGGGTGGTGTACCTATCCGCGCGGACTCACATGAGGTCCTATCACCAGTAATTATTAAACTTAAATAATTAAGATTGTTAATTAATCCGATTTCCGAAGTCCGATTTAAAAAAAAATGTTTTAGATCACAGAGTTTTCCAATGAATCGCCATTATTAAAATTAGAGCACATTGCATTACAAATCCAATATGCGACTCTAAATAAGTTAATTTATTATTTATTAGGTTATAATTGATCAGTCATTTAATTTTAATGAATTATTTTAATAAAGAAGAGCATTAAAACACACAGTAGTTTCACATTTAATCATTTTAATTCTAAATAAATAGTTTGAATGTATCAAATATACACAATCACTCTGTATCTTTATTTACACTTTCTACTTCTGTGGACGCTTCCTCTGCTTTGGGCTCCGTCTCTGCAATGTCTATAATTTCTTCATCAGTATCATGTGTCTCCTCCTGTGAATGTGCTCCCTCTCTGGTAAGAGTATCATCATCTTCAATAGTCTCCAAAATAACAACAGACTTGGAAGTCCGTTTCTCGCGGTCTTCGGCAAACTTAGCTTGCGATTGCAATGCCAGTTGTGAATATGCTAAATCTTTCATTATAGACTTCTGTATTTCTAACTTACTCGCAGCCAATTTTTTCTCTATATCTGTAGCTTCAGTTTCCTCTTCTTCTTCTACTGAAGTCATACTTTCAGTTGACTTAGTGGACGTTACAAAAGACGCTACACTCTCTTTCGCAGCAATCTGTGGTTCGGACGTAGGTTCTACTAATTTCATACTTGGTATAGTTTTAATGCTTCCAAGAGATGAAGACGACAGTGACAAAAACGAAGAACTTTTCTTTTCTAATTTCAAAGAATCTTTTGAAAAAGATGAAGCTACTTGAGATATTGCTGACTTTTTTGAAGCTGCTTTCGGTATAAAGCCTAGATCACCTTCTTCATATACCTTAGTCACTGATGCTAAAGTGTCCGTTGAATCAGCCCTTTCAACTTCACGAAACTGGGTTACGATGTCTAGTAAGCTGGATAGCAAAACTTGGCGGTCCATGACATTTCGCGTGGGATCTGTCGATGCCCATTTATCTAATTTCAAGGCAGCGTTTATGGCCGACGCTGCTTCTTTCAATATCTTCTTCAGTTTTATACCTTCCTTTGCAGTTTTTGAAGCTTCTACAGCAGATTTGTTCTGATCACTCATTCGAGCGTGCAAATTTTGTTCTAATATCCTAACTTGTAAAGACAAATCGTCGTTTTCTTTTGTAAGTATCTGAATTTTGCCTTGTAATGTTTCTAAATCAAAATTGCGTTTTTCGTATAATGCTTTTTCCTTTTTTATTTCTTGGAAAGCTGTCGTCAGTTGATCTATTACTTTTAATTGGACAACATTTTTGTTGATCGCTTTATCTCTTTCTTCTTCAGCTAATTCCATAGCGACACGGGCAGATTTTTCACTTTCTTTATATTTTTCATTTTGTTCAGCTAATTTAGCTTGAGTAGATAAAATACTATCCAATTCATTATTGATTGCTATGTTTTCTCTAATTACGCGATGAGTTGAGGCTGCAATTCGCAATTCAGTAGCGTCTTGGAAATCTTGAGCTAACTGTAAGAGTCTTGCTTCCATTTCTTTCTTTAATTTATCTTTTCCTATAATAAACTTCTTTTCGGCGTCATAAATTATCCTTTTGTATTTCATTTCCTGGTCCTTAAATTCTTGTTCTTGTTTCTCAAATTTCCTCATCAAGTCATCTCGAATAGCTCTGAACTCTTCCAAAGTGTTTAGCTTACCAGCGAGTAATTTATTTTCAGATGTTAGCTGATCTTTCATAATAGTGAAATTCCTTTCTAACTCTGCCACTGTTTCTTTGAACTGAGCTGTTTCAATTTCTCTTGTTTCTTCAAGGCCTTTCACTTTGTCTTTCAATTCGTTATTTTCTTCATTTTTCAAATTTAGAGTCTTCTTTAAATATGCGATGATGTCAGCCCTATCCTCATCTAACTTATCATAAGCTTTTTGTAATTCCTCATTACGTACTTCATATTCGTCAACAGCTGATCGAAGTCTTGCAATTTTCCTATTACATTCAGCCACTTGTAGTTCCAAAAAAGTTTTCTCCACTTCCGTGAATGTCGCACCTTTTTGGGGCTCTTCATCTTTTTTAGCTTTATCTTTCTTTGGAGCCATTATAGTATATTAAACAAGAGAAAATATCACCAACAATAAAACAATCAAGTCTCTGGGAGAGGAATTATGTTGTGGTGTTGTATTTGTATTGATTAAACTTTTCCATGGTTACTCGTTACTTAGCAACGTACAGTTTACACTTTCAACCAAGGAGGTAGCTTCGAACACATAATATTCTTGTCTAGACTACTAATTTAAAATTACAGGAAATTAAAAACTCCGTACTATAAATGTATATTATACGTACCCATAATTTCTTCAAGTACATTTTTTTTTTTTAAACAAAAACTACGATTATTATTTAATTCAATAAAGAATTATAATATTAACTTACGTAGCTTTTATAACATTTTTTTTATTACCCTTGTAGGCAGAAGAGGAGCGTACGGCCCACCTGATGGTGAGTGGTTACTGTCGTCCATGGACTTCAGCAATGCCAAGGGTAGAGCCAGGCCGCTGCCTACCGTATTTATATACATATGTGTTTGATTTTGGGGTTTGCATTTTGAAATCTCCCGCCAACTTGCCCGGTACTCGCGCAATCAAAACTGAGCGCGACACTAGCGCTACGTGTTGCCGCAGTTTGTGCAACATTTGAAAAAGGAGTCGTGAAATCTTTGAGCAGTTGGCGGTAAGTCCGTAATTCTTTAAATCTTTAAAATATCATAAAACTGAGCTATCGTACANATGTGTTTGATTTTGGGGTTTGCATTTTGAAATCTCCCGCCAACTTGCCCGGTACTCGCGCAATCAAAACTGAGCGCGACACTAGCGCTACGTGTTGCCGCAGTTTGTGCAACATTTGAAAAAGGAGTCGTGAAATCTTTGAGCAGTTGGCGGTAAGTCCGTAATTCTTTAAATCTTTAAAATATCATAAAACTGAGCTATCGTACAATATGCATTAAGCTTTTGATTTAAAACATTAGAACTAGAAACGGTTTTAGTTAAATTAAATACTTAGAGTTTGGTATTAATTTAGTTTTACCTTTTATTGTTTTGAATTACCTCACAGTACTTAGCTCCGTATGCTGGTGGGGGTGAATCACAGAATCTATGGCGGCTTCGGGTGCGAGTCGAACAGTGCGCTGGTGCTGGACAAGCTGACCACGGAGACCATTCGCCCCAACCTCCGGCACCACCATCTGTTTCATTTAAGCATATAGTTTAATGGGACTTCTATATCTTGCATGAACGTTAACCTCATCTTAACTACAAGAAGTCCATTTGCGAAGCCTAACTATGAGTGAGAACTTCGTCTTCATCATCTTGACACATTAACCTTAGTTGTCATGTAACATATTGATAAGTTTGAAGTTCTTCTAGTATTTTCGCCTTTTCGCACGGTCAACAAAAAGGGTTCTAGTGCACAAGCTCTTTTAGAAGACTATAATCTGAATCTACAAGCCCGTTTCAATCCAACCCAAGCTGGGTTGATGTACGTAGATCAAAAATATCTTGGCTCTTATAAATATGTCCGTTTTAACTATTTAGGGATTTTTTGCTTTAGTGTCGAATTTTATACTTGACACACAATATGATGGTTATGATATCGAAGGGCAAACTTCGTATTAAATATATAAAACTAGAATTTATGACAATGAAATAAATAGAAATTGTGAACATGCAAAAGTTCTAATGGAGAATCTTTGAAAATAATTTATCCAATATCCAAAAATTATTATTACCTACTAATAAGATTGATATTTATTATTACAAAAGATGCAAGTACAGTAGTTTTTTGAGCCTTATAACATAAAAAGCTATCATAAGCCGTAAGATATTAAGTCCAAATTTCAGGTGCATCAGAATTATGGCTATCTCGCATTCATGAATCGTAACTACTACGTGATTGCTTCGGACATAAACTATCAAGGCGATATTAGATAAGTGCAAGTTCTCTGCGGACTTATCACTAATGCCCAAAATAGGAATCGTAGGAAAAGTCGAAGCTGTTACTAAAATGGGAATGCCACTACTACGAACAGGTGATAAAGACTTGGTACTGGATATTTAAAATTTAAATTTTTAAATTTCGGTTTTAAAAAAAATCTGTTTTGTATTGTAATTAAGTATCATACCTGATAGTGGTAAAGTGGGTAGGCAGTCCATCCTAACGTCGGCCACTGCACCGGTTACAGCTTGAGACACGTAAACAAAGCAGTATTCAGGATAGCGCTCCGTGAAGAGCCGACAGTCGAAGGTCGCAGTATGTTGACCCCTGGATTAAATTTGGCAATGTTATTTTTAAGTATCTGCTTATAGTAGCTTATCTTAGCTTATTTTTTTATTGCCTTTGCAAGCAGACGAGCATACGGCCCACTTGATCAGCAATGTCAAGGGCAGAGCCAAGCCGCTGCCTACCATTGAGTACTCTCCGCAAGCCTCGTTTGAAGAAGGACATGTACTAACGCTCGGGAAACACCGTTGAGGGGAGCTCATTTAAGACGGTTCATACAGTTAGTGAACGTAAACAACATAAAGTTTGTGGATTGTACAGTTTGCTTATTAATATGGAAAAAAATATTTTAGTAAACTTTAGGATTACATGTGTGGAGCTCGTAATGTCGCCGTGCTAAATACGAAATATACATAATAACAGAACAGATTATTTAGTAGGTAAGTAGGTAGTAGAACGTCTCGTGAGTCCGCACGGGTAGGTACCACCACCCTGCCTATTTTTGCCGTGAAGCAGTAATGCGTTGCGGTTCGAAGGGCGAGACAGCCGTTGTACTTTCAAAACTGAGACATTAGAACTCATATCTCAAGGTGTGTGGCGGCGTTTACGTTGTAGATGTCTACGGGCTCCGGTAGCCACTTAACACCAGGTAGACCGTCAGACCGCCATCTAAGTAATAAAAAATAGATAAAGCTTGTGTTTTAAAGCTATAATTATTTATGAAAAACTTTGGCTTGAGCAAATAGTGAAAGTTTCCTTTATTAGATTTATTGAGAGTTTATACCTTTGAAATCCGCGTTATGTCAAAGCAATTGAAGACTCCAGAAATACTATTATATTTTTGAAGCCATGTATACCAAGCTATGAATATACCTAGTCAGGTCATAAATTCTGTCACATGTTTAATGTAAAATAATTGAAACAAGTTTATTCATTATGTAACCATTCATATACCAAAATGAACTTAACAAAACATAGATTCTTATGACACTAAAGTTTATTCAAAATGTCCTCCGTGATTTTGAATATAGGCCTTCAATCTGCGCGGCCAGTCGTCTATCGCAGCACGAACGAGGTCCATATTAATATCGACGGCTGCCTTAATCAAGGATGTCTTGAGTGACTCCAAATTGGGATGAGGCTTTGAGCACGCCTTTTCCTCCAAGTGTTGCCATATCTTGTAATCTAACGGATTCAAATCTGGACTGGAGGAGGGCCAGTCTTCGTGCCGGATGAAGTCGATTTCACGCGCCGCCAGCCAGTCTTGTGTGCTCTTCGCTCTATGAGCTGGCGCCGAATCTTGTTGGAATACCCAGTGCCTGTTATTGAACATGGTATGAGAAACAGGTTCCACAAGGTTCGTCAGGACTGTATTTTGATACACAACTGCATTCGTTTTTACACCTTTCTCACAAAAATGTACCTCTGTTAAGCCCCAATAAGAAACTCCCAACCATACCATGAGCGAGGATGGAAAATGACCTCGTTGGACACGCGGAATACGGTTGCTCGCTTCTTCACTACTGTGTGCGTACACCTTATCATTTTGTTTGTTGTAGCTCTCTTCTACGGTAAAAATTTTTTCATCCGAAAAAAGAATTTCCCGATATTTTTTTCCCGCGTACCGCTTCAACAAAGCGCGGCATCTCTTCAGTCTCAGGTCCATTAGACGAGCATTCAAACGATGTCCTGTTTTTCTTCGATATGCCCGAAGCCCTAAGTCTTCATTTAACACCCTTTTCACCGTGGTTCTGCTTAACCCCATCTGAAGGGCCAACAGTTTCTGCTTACGTTTGGGATTTCTTTGAATTCGCGCCTTCACAGCTTTTATCACTGCTGGAGTCCTAACAGACCGAGGGCGACCACTTCTTGACCTGTCATCTACACTAGAGTCTTCATTGTATCGTTTGATGGTACGACAAACGAATCTTTTGGTTATATTCAAATTTTTCAGTATGTTAAAAATTTGAATTGGCGCGTAACCGCAACGATGCAACGCAATAACTGCAACACGGTCTTCCTTAAGCGTTCACTCCATATTTAAAAATGAGTAAAATTCTAAAAGTATACATTTTTATTTTCATGAACAATTCGAAATTCGAATTCAATAAACTTTTTTGTGGCCAGCATTCTAAAAGAAAAGTTTTTACTGTGTGACAATACTTATGACCTGACTAGTTAGATATTGTACCACACCGAAAATTTTAAATCGAATGTCAATGACCAGAACACACGAGCAATTCCCATTACCACATTAGTTAAATTGATTGCGGAATCTATAATTAAACCAGTTAAATTAAGCGGTCAAATTATTCGGCAATTTTAACAGCTAATTAACCCAATCGGTTAATGTAAACCAGTGGCTCGACTTCAGAATAGAAACGTCGTATGTTGCGATTGGAATTTTATAGATATTCTTTTTAATGCTAATATTTAGAGATGGTTTTACTGACGCTATCGGCGGCTGATATGAAAGCTGTACTAGGAGTGGTCGGGGAGTTAGAGTCAAAAACCCTATTTTCTAATTAATAGCCAGGTAGATTACTAGTAGTAAAATTGAGACAGTCTCAATGTTTGCGGAAAACCCTATACTTTAAATGGAGCATAGTGAAGTGAGTTTCAAAGTGTACACTATTGACTGTATTGAGAATAAAAATAATTCTTATCTGGAAAAAGTATATAGAGCCTCTCATTTTTTTATTAAATCTTACCTGCGAACTCTCCTCTCAACGATGTAGCGCAGTTTGTCCGAGTCTCTACCGAACACACGGACTCTATCCACATCTTCGATCGCACATTCTGGATACTGGAATAAGACGCGTACTCCGTCTCCACACGGGAACACGGATCCGCCTGGTACATTAAGTACGAATTGATCAGACCAGTCCGCCTGTGAAAGAAATGACCATCCTACAGTTTTCTATAAAATCTGGTAAACGATAAAAAAGATATTTCGTTATTACTGAATTATTCATCCACTTCATTAAATAGTTTTTCTTTTAAATTAAAACATTGATTATCGTGGTCATTATGATAAAGTGATTTAGAAGGATGAAGTCGCCAACAAAATCACGTTGACTTTCAAATGATTGTGAAGACTGAACCACGTTTATTAAGATATAGCTGCTTAATCCACATGTGAAAGTCGCAAGGTAGAATTGTCTGCTATAAATTAAAATCGAAATCCACAGTGCTAAGACAAGCCAAACACAATAACTCAGTCGTAAAATGAAAAATGCTATAGCACCATATTTTCGGACGTGAATCTCACTAAACTTAAACCATTTAAAGCCAACAAAACAATATTTTTTTCGTGAAACTCATTCAACATCAAAACTTTTTTGTTTCCCTTTTATATCTTTGCATATTTCATCGCCTAAGCACTCGTAGGAATGATTGTATTTTATAACGGCCATTAAGAATGCTGCGGTGAAAGCAATCTACGTTAAATTTTATTTACAATAAATGGCCGTTCTGTTTGCCGTGTTTATGTTTCTCGTGAAATTGACTCGCGCAAATAAAATTTTGAATTATTGCACAATTTCAACAATGAACCACGAATATATAAAAATGATAATTAAACTTATTTTTAGGCGTTGTCTATTTAAATAATGTTATGTTTCACTGTTGTTTTCATCTTCTGAACTTTCTTTCATCGTGGCCAGTCCTAATGATAACAATTGGTTCGGCCCTTAGGATGTACGGTTAACATGGCTTACGAGGCTGTTCTCCTCAACTTATTGTCGCTTCTTCATTGTCCGTCTCTTCTTCAGCCTCATTTTCTTATTTACTTAATTTTACTAAATTGTATCCCACATGATCATTTCAAGGTCATACTTAAGGAAAACTGATGCTGGCGGAAAATGTCACAATTCGTTTAAAATCAAACTGCCATAGGATGTCTTGTGAGTCCGCATACGTAGGTCCTATCGCCTTGCCTATTTCTGTCGTGAAGCAGCAATACGTTTTGGCTTTAAGAGTAGGGAAGTCGTGTACTGTAAAAACTGAGACCTCTGAACTCATGTCTCAAGGTGGTTGGCGGTATTTACGCTATGAGCTCTGGTAACCTAGGTGGATCGTGAGCTCGTCCACACATCTAAGCAATAACAGTTACAACAACTGCCCCACCCTTTAAGCCGAAACGCATTACTGCTTCGCGGCAGAAATAGGTAGGGTGGTGGAACCTACCCGTGGGGACTCGCAAGAGGTCCTACCACCAGTAGTTACGCAAATTATAATCGGAGACTATTTCATCTGAATCAGAGACCAGGTTAAAAAGGTTTTATTTGATGTATAACCTTAGTTTCGTATGTTCACTTATTTTAAGCTGAGATTTATTTGAAAGTAGATATCCAAATAAAGATATACGTAATTGGTTAATCATATTTCACAGTGTTGATACAAAATTCAATAAAATATGTATGTATTGAAACTTTCGTTCATACAAATTGCTGGCAAGCCCAATTTCGGTGGGGATTTCACGAGAATCGATTTTACGGTTTACGATGTATTACGACTGTTTTTCATTTGGAAATTTTAAAAGGCTGCCCTAATTTCCTTGCGTGTATCGTGAATTTGATATTTCGAAGGTATGACCGTAAAGCTGATATCGGATTAGGCCTGTTTGATTTAAAAATTTATTAGGGCGCATCATACACAAAATTATGAGTCAATGACAAAACCGCAAATTTTGACAGTTTTCAGAATTTTCCCCAATTCTAGTAACGTAAGAAAAATCTATGTTATTAAACGACATCATTCACATTTTTATAAGGATACTCTTAAAACTTGAAACTTACCCGAACTAAAAATTCCACGTCTAGTGATTACTTTATTTTACTGGTTTTATTTGCATAGAAAACAGACAAAATCACAACCACTCATTGTCGAGGGGCTATCAAAGCAAAGGGACATAAGTAACATGGTTTCTCCGCAGCAAATATACACCGTATTTATGACCATTATGACCAATGGCACACAAACTAAGAATTAGAGGAGGCAAATATTGAATAGGCTTACCTTAATAAAAGCAATAGCAGAATCTTGTGGGCCCGCTGCTGCGGCTGGTCGTAGGGTTAAGGCATAATCGCCAGCCTGCCCAAAGAATTCACATCTCAGGGTCATTGTACGACGGCCAGGGAAGCCGTGCATCTGAAACAGAAAGTACAGTTTAAAGAGTGGACATCGTTTTATTCGATGATTTCTGGTAATATTCTTATTCATGAAGGATTAATAGATCTATTTTCCATTTGTATTACGTGCTTTCTTCCAGTGCCCACTTAAATGACATTGTATCTAGGACTACTTCCAATAAATTACCAAATGATACCAGGAATTATCATGTTTTTCAACTACTAATTTTGTTTTTTTGCTTGTAAATTACATCTATCAACAATTTAATTGATCGGCAGATTACCAAGATTACCAATTAAAATAAGGCAAAGAAAAACAATACAATTCTCATGCCTGAAGTTGTCATTTATGAATGGGTAACTCTTAAAAAAATTAAGAATTATTGTAAAAATTACCTCCTCCGAATATAGAGCGTGTGTATGAGAACTGCTATTCTTTCCATCGCACAGCATAGCTCGACCGCTCGAATGGCCACAATACAACAATTCTAGAAAGAAATCAGCACTGGATTCTATTGGTGTACAAACAACCCTTGGAAACTCTATGATGGCCATCACTTGTCTCTGTGGATAAGTTTGTATATTTTCCGGGGTCACATCAAGATTAGCTGTGGGCCATTGCACGTCGAACTTCCAAGATTTAACAACACTATCTCCAGCATCCATTATACTACCTTCATTATCAACATCCCTCTTCAGTCTAGATTCTGTTAGAATCTCATCTGTTCTGTCAACAATATGCTCTTTACTATCACTAATTCGACTACTATGTTCATTATTTACATATCTTTTAGTTACATTATCTGTATTTTGACTAGACTCTGCACCATCAACACTTATTTTCGTATAACTATCTAAATTAGAGTCACTTGTGATTTGATAGTCTTTTTTATTAAAGACCTCCAAATCATCGACGTTGCGTTTAGAAAAACCATTATCTTCATCCTGTTTAACATCATCATCAATTTCATTTGTGAAATTCTCCGTGGTGTAATCTTCGTTTAGGAAGTTATCTTTATCAGCAATAAGTTCCAAGTAATAAGTGCCTCCTCTTGATAAGTATCCGCACGGTATTGTCATTCGGCTTTCAGAGTCAAGAGCTAGCGGCATTGTGGCGAGGAGAGTTCTCCCTTCGTCGTCTTCTCTGGCGAGGCGAACCTTCAGACGAGTACCAGTAACGCCGTGAATTTGAATACGGACATCGCCTCCCAAAGCTACGACGGTGGTGGGTATCTCTACCCATACTTGCTTGAGATCTGTACTGTCACTTGAATGAGGATTGACGAATCTTGTGCTGCCTGTAAACAAAATGACGGTATGTTAACGAAAGAATTTGTCATATCATTGTAATTAAACGTTTCGATGTCAAAAAAACAGCACCGACATTAGCGTTAATGCGCTTAAACCGAAACGGACCTTTCCATAGTGATTGCCAGTAAAGGTGATTTAGAGTCTGAGTCTGAGTCCACTTTGATAAACTTCAATTACTGTTGGGGGGGCTGAAAACCTATGCAGTATTAGTAAGTACCACGACCGCCTCTTATTTATTCATATACAATAAAATAAATAAGCTGATCAATATATACCCCATGACACAGACCCAATGCAAACATGCACAAACAAATTGGCTTCACGACCTAGACTACGAGCAAACAGAGAACTTACTCCAGACTGTGAAGTAATCAGCTTTTTTGTTTTTGAGCCCAAGCATATGTTCACGACTTAACCAAACCTAATCTATCTTAAGAAGGAGGGAGCCTGGAGATCAGTAATACAGGTCTTTGAACCTAGTACAGACTTCAGCTCTTTCAAAGGCTTACAAAATAAATTATAAGATTAATTTCCATTTGTATTTGTACCTTTAAGAGAGAAATAAATAAATTATTATTATTATTATTATTTATTATTATTATGCTACTACCTAATCATATTGAATAGCTCCAAAGGTTTTTTAGCCGATATGACATTGAAGCAAAAAATCCTCCAGTAGCGGAATCTACTATGGGTGAATACTCCTCCACCCACACTGACAACAACAAAATTATTGATTTTATAAATAATGCACTATTATTCATGATTATTGTTAAATTTTTTATTAACTGGATGTCGTCGTGGCCTGCGGGACAAGATGCCCAGTACAATCCTAGAATGGAAAACCCTAAGTTATGCACCGTGTCAATAGCTACTGCTTAATGCACCAGACCATTCACCGAACTGGATAGCAAAAGCTTTTTTATTTATTTATTTTTTGTTGCTTTTTTTTATTGCTTAGGTGGGTGGAAGAGCTCTCAGCCCAACTGGTGTTAAGTGTTACTGGAGCATAGACATCTACCACGTAAATGCGCCACCCACCTTGAGATATAAGTTCTAAGATCTCAGTATAGTTATAACGGCTGCCCCGCCCTTCAAGCCGAAACGCATTACTGCTTCACGGCAGTAATAGGCAGGGTGGTGGTACCTACCCGAGCGGACTCACAAGAGGTCCTACCACCAGTAATTACGGAAATTAAAATTTTGCGGGTTTGATTTTTATTACACAATGTTATTCCTTCACCGTGGAAGTCAATCGTGAACATTTGTTTAGTACGTATTTCATTAGAAAAATTGGTATCCGCCTGGGATTCGAACACCGGTGCATCGCTCAACACGAATGCACCGGACGTCTTATCCTTTAGGCCACGATGACTTCAAAAGGTGTCAGTCGAAGCTGTTCGCTATCAAACCGCTCACTGACACAACTATCATAACAATAATAGTCAAATCAACATGCCACATGGCGGTAGTCCCGTGGACCAGGTCTAAGTAGTATACCAATTTATCCTTGTTTGCCCTCACGAACTATTTCTCTTTAAAGGAATTGAGATCTCACCCAGCACTGCTCGACGCGCATCCCGCTCATGGTCATTATTAATACTAGTAACATTTGTAAATGCTAAATTCTCAACAAACCATTATTAATATTTCCCAGTAAATATTTTAGTGTTTGTAATATTTAAAAGCATACAACGAAATATTTGAGATACACGAAACGGAGGGAAAATGCAGAATTCGCTTCATTTTCTAAGCTCGTGCCAAACCACGTTTACCTTGAAGAGGAAAATTCAATGAAAAACGTCAAACTAAACTATAAAAATTTCATATCAGCAATTTTCAGAAAGCTATTTTAGTGATGAAAATTATTTTCAGTTATAAAGCTCTGAAACTTTTTTACTATAAAAGAAAGTTTTAAACACGTAAAGAGCTAGCCTGGATACGCCCATTAAATTGAATATTTAAATTAAGCTTTGAAGTTATAGCGTTGCGAGAAAGCTCAGTGAAATTATAATGTTTTAGGATAATATTTTATGATGATCGCCATTTTTGAGCACGACTTGGGACTGCGGGCTGGTATGTCCCACCATGTCGTAACAAAACCATGCTAGCATCACTTTTAAACCCAAACGTCTCATCTTTAGAAAGACAGAAGGGCGAGACCGGTCATCACAAACTTCTTCCAAGGGACATGAGACCGAAGTCTCCACTAGCAACGTTCTACTCTATAATTCAGAAAACCCTGCTCTGTGGCAAAGAAATAATAGAAATGGATGGTGGTACTTGTATATCTCCGTACGTAGAATAAAAGTCACAGACCCTACTCTAACTACCTTTTGCGACACTTACAATCATATTACGTATGGTGTAAAGCAGATATGATGTAGTATTACTGGTGGAAGAACGACTTGTTAGTACGCACGGGTTGTAACACCGTATTGGTAATTTTCATATTTATTGTAAGTCAATCTGGCGCGTGCTCCCTCCATCGGACCATCTTTTGTTCCGATTTTATTTAAATAGGCATGCATGCGCTAGGAACTCCTCATTCAGAAGTCGCGCCAAATAGCTAAAGGAAAGGTCAAGGAGTAAATTTGTTAAGATCTCATTCTCTCTATTGCGGCTGCCGGTGGGTGTAACAATTACCGTTACAGGGTAAGCACCACCCTGCCTATTTCTACAGATAAGCAATAATGCGTTTCGGTTTGAAGGGCGGGGCAGCCGTTGTATTGTTAAAAGTGAGAACTTAGAACTCACGTCTAAAGGTGGGTAGCGGCATTTACCTTGTAGACGTCTATGGGCTCCGGTAACCACTTAACGCCAGGTGGGCCGTGAGCTCATCCATCAAAGCAATAAAAAAACAAAATTATAAAGTATTCTGCAGAGAGACTAAAAAATGAATCATAATAGATTTCCCAAAGAAGCTTACGATCACTATGCCACTAGTTGGTAGTTCTAGTTGTTGATATATTATGGTTGAACAAAAATCTATTCAACAATCGTGATTTTGCTTCTTGTTTTCAAAAACCTTTTAATATTTTCTACGTGTGCACCGACACGCTTCTGTTACAGCTTGTACCTCGTAATAACAGGATACAGGAATACAGAGATGATTTTCGCGCGAGACTTTTCACCTTTCACGCTGAGCGTACGAAATTAAAATGCACCATTTCGCGCTCGTGAATAACACAAAAGCAAGTAATTAGGGGGGCCTTGATGAGCTCGGGCGGCATTTGCGCTAGCTACACTTTATTACTTGTGAAATTACTTACTATACGAATTAATGTTACGATGAACTTTTTATTTTGAAAAAAATAAGCGACATTTCATTATCATCCCATAATTGACCACTGCTAGACTCCCCCTCCCTCAAAGCTTGCCATAGTGTTCGCTGACCGCACTTAACTGATTCCTGTCAAATTCCATATCTCATCATACTCACACCACAGGAATAACCACGCTGCTGTCTCCGTAATAAAATAGTAATTATTATTGTAATAATTGACGGTATTAATCAAAATTAACTCTCAAAGTAGTGAGTTATTAATACAAAATTAATTGGTATCAATATTAATTTATTACAAAATTATAACGAGTACAAGTATTTGCATTTTTAATAAGTTCCCGGACGTCAATTGAGTATTTTTAATTATATTGCGTTCGTTTTTAATTATCTCATTAGAAACCCAATGTTCTATATATTACTAATTCTCTTAGCATGTGTAGGCACAGAGTCACATCTTTTTAATACGCTTTTATTGGCTTCAGACGTATGTGCTTCAGACGTTTGTAACGGAATCTTTGAACATGGTTTTGACCCCCTTCAAATCTTCGGACTAACTCGAAATACTGTATATTTATTAAGGACCGATGACAATGCAACATTACAAAAAAAATTTAAATTCAACTAAAAAATGGAAAATAACCTCACGCTTTTTTTACAATAAAATCATTTTTACTTACACTATTTTTAATTCAAATTTAATAAAATTCATTTTCTATTTTTTTGTTGGATTTTCTATAAAAGCGTATTTTTTTTGTTTTTTTAAACTATTCTTTATTTTTTCCAACCTAAGCTGCCTTAGAAGCCTTAGAAGGCTATGCCAGCGTAACTGAGCGGGAAAGTGACCTCACGGGGCTCTAGCCTGAGGACGTTGCTAACACTAACCCAAGACAGAGCAGTGCTTGGCAGAATCTACCACCGGATCGGAAACGCGACCTACTGAGAAGATCCGGCGAGAAACTCAGTGGGCTCGTGGTTACATCACTTGATATCGCACTTTATATAGTGTCTTATTCTTGAGTAAAAAAATATGTACTGTAATCTAAAACTATAATAACTAAAAAAGCGTTGATGAAGCTGAAACTTAATAACTTTAGTCCGAAAGATACATATTATAGTTACAATTTAAGTTTGGCTCGTAAATTAATTAGCATGAAACAATATAAGGTTACCGGTTAGTAACTGCCACCACTGTAGCATTTATTTATCCAGGATCGACAGTTGCGAGCATATAAGAAGACTCTAAATGCTCAAGTTCAAGTAACCCGATGGAACTCTCATTTGCTTTGGATCTTGAACTGGATCAAAAGCCAGTAAACGGTAATTGCTAAAGCGGTACGCGGTACTCAAAAGAGCTCACAAGAGCACCTACAAGAAATACGCCAATTATAACCAGTGCGGGTTCAACTATTATGACACGATGTTATTACTTAATGATGGAAGTATTTTGTGAACAATTATGAAGTATATATTTCATTTGAGTATTTTGCATCTGCAGTATTTGAACAACGATAGTTGTATCGGTCAATGGCTATATCAAGCATTTTTTTTCCTACCTTAGCCGATAGCCTTGAGAGGCTATTTCAGCGTAACCTTAACTAGTAGGTGAGCTCACGGGGCTCAAGCTGGAGTGATGCTAACACTGACCCTAGCAAGATCATTGCTTCGCAGAATTTACCACCGGATCGGAAATGCGACCCACTGAGAAGATCCGGCGAGAAACTCAGTGGGCTGTGTCTATGGGTTAATTCGCTCGTCGAGCCCTTCGTCGCAAGCGACGGGTTCGACGAGGACGGTGACCGGTGCTTGTGGTACCTAAAAGTACCTACATCAGGCATACTCAATATATCAGGCACACATTCGCGGCTAACAGCGGCTCTGGCATTGCCGAAGTCCATGGGCAATGGTAACCACTCACCATCAGGTGGGCCATATGATAATCTGCCTACAAGGGCAATAAATAAAAAAAAAACTCAAGGCCATAAAATCTGATTGATATTCACATGAAGCCTAAATTATACTGTTGTATGAGGCATAGTACTCTAGTAGAAATTGAGCTCACTCATATTGAAATTGGTTTTAATCAATTCAGAAACTTTTATTTTTTTATTGCCCTTGTAGGCAGACGAGCATACGGCCCACCTGATGGTGAGTGGTTACCGTCGCCCATGGACTTCAGCAATGCCAGGGGCTGAGCTTAGCCGCTGCCAGGTTTAACTGGTTTAAATACGGTGTATTTTAGGAACAGACTAAATCTTTGGAGTTTTCTCACCGGCAATGAGTAGCAGCCGCAGGATCGCGGCGTAGGGCCCACGGCGCATGCTGCGTCACCGCCCCATCAAACCTTCAATCTTTCAGCCATTGATTACCTGTAACAAAAACGCTGTCTTGTATCAACTATTATAACTATCATTACATATCCTGCGGGCCAAATGGTAAACAATCGACGTCGCCCTAAACACGTAATTTCGGATCCTTTCGACCCACTAACAGTGCTTTTAGGTACCTCAAGCACCGGTCACCATTCTCGCCGAGCCCATCGTTTGGGTTCGACGAGTAAATTAGCCCACAGACACAGCCTACTGAGTTCCTTTAATCAAAACAATACTGCTTCCTTCGTTAAGCTAACCATTGACACATGGAGGAAAGGAAAACCTCCACTCACAATAACCTATTCGGCTATTCATCGGGCTAATCACTTCTAGCTGTTGTTAGTACTTTAAATAACTCAACCGCAGTAAAGATATCATATACTTATTTAGCTTCTCGTCTGAAATTTCAGAAAATGCTCCTACCCGCCTTCCCCTCTTAATTGATTGGTAGAGCATAATGTCTACACGGATGTTTACGACCATTGTGTGGCCAGATGCTATTATTATTTGAACGCTTGAGTCAACTAGAAACAATGTAGAAAGAGGCCAATTCTATAAGGCTTGTGTTCACTGTCACACTTTATTCGAGGCGTTATACTAGATTCACCGAGCGACTTGATGAGCTCACGGGGTTCTAACCTGGTGACGTTGCTAACACTAGCCCTAGCAAGAGCAGTGCTTCGTAGAATCTACCACCGGATCGGACGCGACCCACTGAGAAGTTTCGTCGAGAAACTCAGGAAGGTTTTTGGAACGAAGTTCCTTATGGCACGATGCGGAGGGGTACGCTAACCGGGAAAAAACGTCCATAACGTAAGATTTTACAGAAAGAAACCATTCGGACTTCGAGATTGCGTTTCAAAGTGGTCGATGGCATTCCGTAACCACTAACTATTAGGTCAGCAATGATTTTTTTCTGAAATTCGGTACGTGTTCTGCGGTATAAGATTGGCTGCTATTTCATTCACATCCGAAGGTGGATAGCGACGTACGTCTACGGATTCTGATCCTATTAAGAAAGAGCGACAAGACCAACTCTAAATCCAATAAAACCGATCCATTTTATAGCGAATAAAAACCGAATAACATTACAATCCCCTATAAAAAGTCTCTTTAACATTAGGCAACAAAGTTGTTTCATGGCCTGTTAAAAGCTACATACGTCGGGCCGTAATCACGTCGCTTGGTCCTATTATTACGGAGAGCCGGCGGTGGGTCATTTGATTTAAAAAGCAATAAACAATACCTTTTAGTTGCGATTAATTTATTTGTGCTTTGTAAATCCAAAATAAATTGTGACCTTTTACTGGCGGTAGGATAGGCCTTTGAGGAGACAAGCATTTCAGTTTGAAGGGTTAGGAAACCCTACCATAATACTGCAGAGAGCTCTATCTTATTTTTACTGGTGGCAGGACCTCTTGTGAGTCCGCGCGGGTAGCTACCACCACCCTGCCTATTTCTGCCGTGAAGCAGTAATGCGTTTCAATTTGAAGGGTGGGGCAGCCGTTGTAACTATACTCGGGACCTTAGAATTTATATCTCAATGTGGGTGGCGCGTTGTAGATGTCTATGGGCTCCAGTAACCACTTAACCATAGTACCATAGTACCAACCATAATACCAAATAGAACGGACCTCTAATTACAAAGATAAATGTCGCGTATTAAGCGAAATGTCGCTTAAACCAAATAATCTTTCACCCGTCGATTTGGTACATAACTATTCAAAGCTTACTATCCAAAATTTTAGTCTTCAATAATTACAGGGCGCAGCTGCTTCTATAATGAACCTATAAACATCTTATCCTTTAGACCACAACGACTCCAGAAAACAAGTAAATCAAAACTCTCTCGCAACGCAAGAGAGACAAAGTCTGTTTAAAGTACATTGCGCCGTTATTCATATTTATTTTATCCGTCACGCTTCGTTGATTTCGAATGGAGACCAACCGTCTAACTTCCAAAAATCCTTAAATCAAGTCTGATTACATATTTTATTTACGTCAAAAACTTGGAGCTCCCTTTGCTTTAATAAGGTATCAATGATATTCCCTTTGTACAAGTTCGGGTCGACGATTGCAAAATGAGTCTTCACAAAAGAAATCGAACTGCTCTCCGAATCTTCGTCGAGAAAGATGATAATGATATTCGCATATTACATAACTTTGTTCTTAATGTTTTTTTTTTATTATAATTTTTTTATTTGACGGTTTTCCCGAATTATCGGGAAGAAATAATTTGCGATGATCAAACGTTTGACTGTGGAGATCTTCAAAGGAAACGAGCCATGAATTTTCGTTTCCGTGTCAATGTCAAACACAAAATTTTAATAAACGAAAAATCCAAAGTGTTAAATTAATATTGAATGTACTTTAACGATCTAAAAATATTTTTACTGGTCCTTTTATTATTAAATTCCGGATAATGCGAGCCGTAGTCATTATTGAAACCTTTTTATTCGTCTCATTCTCGCGTTTCGAGTCATTTGTGACCACTTTTTTTTCCTGCCTATGCTGATAGCCTTGAGAGGCTATTTCAGCTTCGCCCTAACACGTGAGCTCACCTACATGTTAGGACGTGCTTTTAGGTACCACAAGCACCGGTCACCATCCTCGTCGAACCTGTCGCTTGCGTCGAAGGGCTCGGCGAGTAAATTAACCCACAGACACAGCCCACTGAGTTTCTCGCCGGATCTTCTCTGTAGGTCGCGTTTCCGATCCGGTGGTAGATTCTGCTAAGCACGACTCTTGCTAGGGTTCGTGTTAGCAAGATCGTCAGATTTGAGCCCCGTGAGCTCACGTTCTAGTTAAGTTTACGCTAGTATGGTCTCTCTCTCTCTCTAGACCATCAGCTTAGGTAGAAAAAAAAGATTACATAACTTTACAGGTACGAAGCGAATTAAAGTCTTGTTCGGCGATCAGTACGTTTGTACTTGTACAGCTATTAACCGGTTTCGGCCGGTTCAAGCCGGGATACGACGGTAAATAAACGCCGACGTACTGCTAGTATTATTCGTGTAGCGATTGACTGGCAACGAACGATCATGACCTTATTAAATTTATCTTTAAAATTAGGAATTACATTGATATGAACTTTGTGTACATATGTATGTATGTACATATGTATTGAACGATGCCATTATGCCGGTGTTTGAATCCCGCAGGCAGTTACCAAATTTTCCAATAAAATACATAGTTAATACATCTTCAGGAATAATTTCCTAGATAAAAGAATAAGATAGCGTAAAAAAAAAACAATTGTAATTTGCATACTTAATGGTGGTATGGCATCTCTAAGCCCGCATGAGTGTGTACCAACCACCCTGCTTACTTCAGCCGTGAAACAGTAATTCTTTCTGGCTTAAAGGATGAGATACTACACTTTACAACTGAGATTAGGCTTTGGATTCTTATAACCACTTCACAGCAGACGGACGTTTATATAATAAAAAAATGGTGCGCGTGCCCCAACTTGCTCGTGAAAGAAGCGAAACTTCTTTTACAGTGTGTAGTATTGTGGTTTTCTTCATTTTTCATCCTTAAATCAAATTTCTCTTGTAATAGGAAATGCTGTGTATAAGAGAAACGACCTCGTAACAATTTATATATGTTTTAAATGATATATAGTTTTTTTTATATTCCTCATTAAAAATAAAATATAAGATAGTTAATATGTGTATAAATGTGTATAAGAAAAACGACCTAGCTCGCTTTCTCCTGCTCTCCAAGGTCGAGTGGTTCGCGGGACGCTCTGTCTATTTTCTCACTCTCATTCGTCCTATATTGTATATTTTCTCTCTAGCAGTAACGGATCTGTCGTGAGTTAAATTTTACTATCAACGCGCCCTAAGAAGTTTCACTTCAAAAATATTGCTTATATACACACTTAAATACTCAACACAGAAAAATAATTTATCTTTAGTTATTTAGCAGGCTATACAATCCGTCTGAAGTCAAGTGATCCCACAGAAGCACAGCTTAACCACTGCTTTTCAGGCTTAATTATATCAGCACTCTTATGAATTAATCGTCATCATAGTCGGTTGCTCTTGGCAGAGCTGTCGTTGTCATGTGGAATTCTTGTTTATTAAAGCCTTGTTTATTAAAGACAGATGTTTTCCATAGTTTGCGAACTGAGGCTTGGCGCACGCACTCGTTAAGCGGGGTTTCAGTAAGGTCTTTCACCTGATCAGTCCAGCACATGGGGATTCGTTCACGAGATCTCTTACCATTGACCCTACTCTGAACAACAAATTTCTCGATAGAACTTATGAATTAACATCGCAATTTAATTATTTTTTTATTGCCCTTGCAGACAGACGAGCATATGGCCCACCTGATGGTGAGTGATTACCGCCGCCCATGGACTTCAACAATGCCAGGGGCAGAGCCAAGCCACTGCCTACCGCTTAATACTCTCCACAAGCCTCGTTTGAAGAAGGACATGTCATCGCTCTGGAAACACCCTGGAGGGGAGCTCATTCCATAGCCGGATACCGTATTTTACAAATAGACTTGCTATACAATTTCTAGGGAGCGCTCGTTGCAAGTCAAAAGACGTTAATTTTGTCGAAATTCCGCGAACGCCAAACGAGCTGCTGAAGATCTCAGCGCCCTGAAATTTACTGTTAATAATAGTTTTAATAAACGCGATAGATTAAATAATCCTGGCGGAAGTCGGTGTGCGCGTTTTTTTTCCTCATATTTCCCTCGTCTCGAATGAGGCTAATGAAACTTGACTTCCACGGGAAGTGGGTTTCAGCTTAATGAAACCCCGAAGAAACAATACGGTGAAGGTGGTTTTTTTTTCGCTAAGGTCCTTGGAATTAAAAGCATTTTTGCAGTTTCGCTTCTTATCTATACTAATATAAAAATTATAAGGCTGAAGAGTTTGTTTGTTTGAACGCGCTAATCTCAGGAACTACCGGTCCGATTTGAAAAAATTCTTTCAGTATTAGATAGCCAATTTATCGAGGAAGGCTATAGGCTATATATCATTA